ACGGCATGTGTACGGAGAGGGCCGAGCTCACATATCTGCAAATGAGGTGACATCATGGCATAGTCAGCTCCCAGCCAATCACATCACAAGGTCTCAGGCTGCTTTCCCCGCCCCCTACACCTCTCCCTTGTTGCTACGGCAGCATCCTCCCCATCCCAGCTGTAGAAAAAAGCACTGCTGAAAGTGTCTGTAGTAAGGTGCGCGTTCTGCAATCACTGGGTGCTATCGTAACTTTTCTTTTTGCCTTAAATGTTTTTCTGCAGCGTGTCTCCTCCTCATCGTTTGTCCTTTGCTGTCTTTGTTGTCAACGCCCTGTCAGATACGATTAAATGCTGCAGAGGGCTGACATCTTACCTGCATGAGGCAAGGTCAACAACAAACACATGAATTAAAGCAGAGGAAAAGTTCATTTTAAAGAATCTAGGAATAACACCACACATGATATTTGATTAATCTCAAGTATGAATATAAAGGATAGATAGGTACTGTATATTTTTCTTATCCCTCTTTCTATCCAATGGTGTTATCATTTGGGTATGCTCCTGTGAGTGTGTGATTCCAACCATGATTTTCAATGTAATCTGGTTGATATAAGATGTTAACATACTGATGTGATAAGGACAACATTTGAGAGCTTCTCAACATAAGCCTGATCCTGTCAGACTTCAGAAGCTCAGTAGGGTAGAGTCTGTTGGTACTTGGACCAGAGACCTCTGGGAACACCAGGTGAAAAGTGCTGTTGTTGTGTCTGTAGGCAAGATACTTCACCAACATTGCAGAGTGTGTTGTGTATGTTAAAAAGCAGCACTCAATTTGGTGGGCTGATAAATCAATCAATCATTCTGCCTTTATTTGTTACACAAGGTAACAATAAGTGCGTCACAATCCACATCACAAAAGGCATAAACCGTAAACATTTAAATTGACATAAACATAAAAAATAGGATTATAATCCCAAAGGGCATTAAAAACAAACATTATGAATACACACAGGTAATTCAGGTGGAGGATTGAGTTTCCACCAGGGCTTTGTAAACATGCTCATTGGTTGGTGGTCAGAATGGACAATGTCACAGATTAGAGGCCTTGCTTCTGTCAGTCTTCCCCAGGGCACGTGTGGCTACTGCAGTACCACACATACCACTATGTATGGGGTGAATGCATCCTTATTTTAAGATGCATTTGTTATCATTTGTCTTCCGATCTACCTACAGTACCTACCTATAAATACATACTGTACATACATACATACATATACATATAAATACATACATACATATACATACATACAAATACATACATACATACATACATACAAACATACATACATACATACATAAATACATACTGTACATACAGTACATATGTATGTATTCACACAGGGCGAGCCGGACTTTTGTTTCATGAACACCCTGTTTCACAGTCAAAATACAAAACAACAAAGTACCCAACAGACCACCAATAATAATTGACAGTACAAATGTACAAAAACATTTTGAGATGCAAAATGTTTAAAAGCTTTTTTCCAAGTTTTTTCCCCAGTTTTTGTTAGAACAGTTTTTTAAAAGCAAGTGGTCCGTGATCTTGTGAACAGGAACTGGGACTCTGACTCCAGTTGAACAAACATGTGGTAATCAGGCAGGTTTCCAATATGTCCTTTCCACATTTCAGACTGCGTTGCTCTCGTCCAACAGACAGATAAGGCCTAGCTCTGTTTTCAGTTACAGTGATGAGCGAGCTTTTTTATGTAAACACCCACATTACATGGTTTATGATTTGATTTCACACTTATATTAATATGTGCCTTGTGTTCTGATTTGCTCGCCTGCACATCTGAAAGTAAGATGTTTTGGTTCTCTTCTTTTTGCAGTCTGATCCGCTAATTTGCCTTTTCCTCCCTGTAACTATGACAACACGATCAACATGCAAATACACGACAAGCGGATATGCAAACTGAGCTCGGATAGATTGTGGTAGGACGTGTGTGCGCATACACTACCAGTTCCCCTTTTGAGAAATATCTCCAAAAACAACTTCAGTTTGATTTTTGGAGTTGGTCACAAACAACAATGACAAAAAATGACATGACATGATAACTAAGTAGTAAAAAAAGTATAGCATTCTTAAAACATGTTTATACTACTACTATTACTACTTTTACTATGGAAGGCTACTATTTTAATACCACTAGTAATATTTATAATGCAATTCTTAAAATACACAAAATACAAATGTTGACAATGTCAGCCAGTTGTTGCTAATGTTATTTTCCCTGGACCATAGTTAAGGTCAATTTGTAGCTTCAGTTCTCTCACCAACCAGTATTTCAACCAGCACAATTGAAGGAAAATGCCACCCACTGATGTATTAATTCATTTAAAAAAAAAGAAAAACACAAACTATAATATTGTCTATTGATAACGGATGAATAACTTTACTGATGTCATTGTTCTGATGACATGTGGAATTTAAGAAATGCTTTTAACACATGGGTCTATTGTGCTGATTCAAGTGGGCACATACATTTATGGAAATATGTGGGATTCCTTCTCAGCACATATGGACAGTGTGGGAGTCGGTGAATTTATTTACCATGGGCCTGTTTCCTGCTCCGTTTAGCCTATTTATTTACAGAAGGAGACGTTTAGATACTCTTAGGTCTGGTGTTGCCGTTCGTAACCAAAAGCAATGGTAAGATTTAGGAAAAAATGTGTTTAGAAGTTTATTGGTGTACTTGAAATTCATACTTCTGACTATGTTGCTGTGACCTGTAGTGCTGCTGCATTTTATCATTATTACTATTGTTAGCTTTTTAGAATGATCAATTTATTTGTTTTGTTTGGATGTGTGGATGAATGTGTTTTTGCTGCTACTGGATACCTGACTTTCTTCCACGGGGGATCAATACATCTGTGTGAAACTCATTAATATCAAATATAATCCTAATCCGCACAAAAAACCACAGCCCAGTGGCCTCAAAGGACTTCACAAAATTGTTGGATTCCTATTAGCAGATATGAAAATTAAACGACCAAGCAGTAATTGGTCATAGTAAGAGCAATGAGTGCCACTCCAAATGAACAAATGACCTAATGTTATAATGTATAAGGTGAAGGTGTACTTTATTATCCTCGTATGATATTTGCCTTCGGTGTTTGACCCATCCTTCCAATGCCACTATAGGTAAACCTGTCCATACACAACAACCAAATTGCTGATGGATATTCTTATAGTGCACACAGTGGGGGGTTAATTTTGTCCCATTTTGTCCGATCCCGTTGTATTTACATTGACACAAAGATAAATAAAGAAATCTCACTCAAAAAACCAAAGTACAGCACTCTGAGGCTTGTCTTTCTTCCGTGTCAAGTCACACTACGCTGCCCTTTAATTAATTAACGGGCTCGGGAAAACAAAGGCTGAGTCACGGTCGCTTCCTGTCGCAGGTGGAGTGGTCGTCCTTCTTTTTAGACTGCCCTGAGCCCGAGGGCCGCTGCTCCCGTTGTGGACAAAGAGACTTGATTGCAGGGCTGACAGGCACCACCCACTCTCACATGCATTCACCATGGAGCCGTTTACAGGCACCAATTGACCTCCTCTGGTCAGTAGGCAGAGGAAATAACCTGCAGGGGTCTAGAGCAGGCATGACAGTGATATCCTGAATTAGGGTCAGTGACAAACCGGATACTATGATGTAAAGTTATTGATGGAAAGATGCACTGTGACGCTCCGTAACATCCAATTAAAGAGAGCGGATAAGCAGCGTCTTCAAATGTACACGGTCTTAGATAATGAAAAGTGTAGACCAATAGTGTTGCATTCAGAACATGTGTGAAATTCAGCGTCAAGTTTGTGATTGATGAAAATACTTTTTCTTGATTTGGCCCTAAAACTTTGGAGATGTGGCTGAAGATGATCAAGAAGCCAGGTGGTTTTGATTTTCTTCATACTCAAAAAACCCATAATTCTAGTTTGATAAATGAGCCCTCTGTCTGTCCTGTGCATTCGTCCCACATTTCCCCATAGTGGGATGAATAAGGTAGATCTTATTAGAAGTTTAAGACATTCAAATATGGCCAAATATTACAAAAACATTTACGTACAGTGGATGAAATTGTAATTGATGCATGTGTCTATTGGATATGTTAATAAAGAAAAACAGTGGAGTTTGCATGTGCTCCCTGTGTGTGCATGGATGACTCCTACCACTATTCAATTCAATGTATTTTTGTGTGTTCCTAAATCAAGAAAGAATTTGTCTCAGAGGAAAAAAATGTTGTCGATTCAACACGGATCAGGGAATAAAACAGGGAAACCAAAAATAACAAACACATAGACAAAAACCAATGTCCGTAAATGTTAATTAATGTCTAAGAAATGTCCCGAATCATCACCACTGTCCTTAGAAGGAACAACTCAAAAACGCATAAAGGCCTATATAAATTCTAAATAAAGATAATTGACTGACTTTTTAACTACCAGATGGCATTTGTGAAGCGATGTCCAAACAGTGGCAATACTCTATCATAAGAGTTTCAAGTTGACAAGTGACACAAGTCCTATTTTAAAGTAGCCTGACGCTGTGTAACCTTCATTCTCTTCCTTCCACTAGTTTTTATTTGTGAATGAATCCCAGAGAGGGTAGACAGTGAATGACCGCGCGCAGCACCTCTGGACTCATTGATGTTTATGTTCATTTGTTTTATGAATGAACCACATACGGGTGGAGACTCTAGGCCCGGGTTCTGCAGTGAGCGCTGTGATTGGCTCCAACGCGCTTTGACGTCACCTCCGCTCTGACGCCATGCACACATTCATAAAAAAGAAAAAAAAAACACACACACAACTCAGAACGCGCAAAGAAACAATCGGGAGAAGAGAGCGCGGAGAGAAAGCAGCGACAGGAGCTGAGACTTGAGAGATGCGCGCATAGACCCAAAGACGCACGCACACACGGTTGCTGAAACTGCTTTTTGGGGGGAGGAAAGATCATCACGAAAATGGAGGAGACGTGGGAAATGGAGTGCCCGCTGCTCAAGAGGCTGCTGAAAGACGACGCGGGCGCAAACAAAGTGCTGATCCTGGACTGCAGGTCTTTTCTCGCCTTCAGCGCCGGGCACATACGCGGGTCGGTGAACGCGCGCTGCAACACGATCGTGCGCAGACGGGCCAAAGGGTCGGTGCTGAGTCTGGACCAGGTGTTGGCCGGGGACGAGGAGGTGCGAGTCAAGCTCCGCTCCGGGATGTACTCCGCTGCGGTGCTGTACGACGAGAGGACCCCGGATGTGGACGCGGTGAAGGAGGACAGCACCGTGACGCTTGTGTCCAACGCGCTGTGCAGGGATTCCGCAGGCACACGCGTTTACCTGCTCAAAGGTGAATGAGATTTTAAAAAAGCACACAGTATACATAGAAAGTAGTGTTTCTGGTGTTGTATTGTCATGAATATACAATAAGAATGTGTGTATTTGCATTGCGTCAGTTTGGATGTGTAGGTGGACGCCATCACCCACTAAATACCCTTTCGAGTATACCCATAACAGACTTAGAATTTAAAAACTAGTAATGTTTTAGCTCCTACCACAGACTTGTATTTATAATTAGATATTTCTGAATGTATTGTAACCCAACATCAACCTATCTCCCTTCTCTAAATCAAACTGCATTCGTGCTTTGTTACAGATATGGTTTATAACATACAAAAACCAAGATTGATTTTAGCTTCCCGTTTCATTTTTCAGGTCCCCTTTCCCATTTCTGAAGCAAATCATTTCGTGTTTTTATACATCCAAACCACTGTAGCATTGGTCCTCATTTTTCATCATTCTAAAATACAAGTTTACACATGAGCAAATATAACGTTATAAGATAAGACACCCTTTATTCGTCACACAGTGTGGAAATTTCAGATATTTAGTTCAGTTATTACCCAACCATTATTCTCCCTCTGTCCTCATGTAGTTTAGAGGAAGCCTTTCAAATTGAGACTAAAAAGATATTATTATTATTATCTTTTCCCTGTTGGTCTAACACTAACATATGTAACGAGGCTATGCAATACGTTTACAGATAGTAGTCTAAAACGCTTATTAGATTATAACAATGTAGCTATAACCAAATGGAAAGAAGCCGTAGAATCTGCCGTTACATTTAACATTATACTACACCCATGCATTATCAAATTCCTCATTTATCCGATCAATCTCTTCTCTGGCCTTCCATTTATAGTATCCATTTGACTCTCCATCTCTCGGCTGTTGTGATGTTGGGGATGAGGTAATGCAGATGCTCATTGGAAGCGTACACGCAGTTCCAGCTCCAGCACTATGGCCCGAGAGATAATCTTTCACACAAGCCACAATGAAGCAAGAGGATATTCTGGCTCAGGGTCGATAGAAAGTATTGTTTTGGTGGTGTCATGTGGTGACGCAGTTGTTAGCACGGTGGTGGGTGTATGCGTGGTTTCTATAGCTTTGCAGAATCTGTGTTTTATATGATGTGGGATTAGACATTTTGTACATACGTCTTGGTTGGATCCTGGTTTGGTAAAATTCTTTGTGTGTGTGTGTGGGCTTCATACTGCAAATTGGATAATGCCACTTACACAAAATTGCACAAAGTTAAAACCCCCATGTTGTATAGGGCAGGCAGGTGGAATATTTTAAACACAATTATACCATTCAAACTCATTTTTTTATGTGTCATTGCAATTATAAAACCTCAAACTACGCATTTACAAGCATCTGAATACTGCCATGGAAATACTCGATTTTGCCCACCTAACATGCACGATTAGAAATGTGATTTTTCTAGAATATGGATTTCTAGCTGAACACTAAACATACAGATTTACGAAATTGTTCCGAAGGCAAAAGCAGGATATAGTTTGTTTAATCTGAGAGAAAATCCGGCTGCAGATGGGATTGTAAACATGTTTTCTATAGGAGTGATTGGCCAAAGCTGCTGAAATTGTGCGAGGTTATATAATCTAATATGGTTGTTGTTGTGGTCTGTGTTACAGGAGGCTACGACAGGTTTTTCTCAGAATACCCAGAATTCTGTCTGTCGTCCAGATCGTTACATTCGCTCACCAGTCAGTCTAGTGTGGACTCGGCCTGTTCTTCATGCGGGACGCCTCAACACGACCAGGTGAGATCTACGTGACGGCAACATGGCACAGTATTTACACAGAACACTTATACCATGCAGGCCTTCTTACTTTTACTGCAATATTGTTGGGAATTGAAAATGGTTTGATTCTCTGATCTGTGTTGGCGGTTTCAACGGTTTTGTTAAGTCCTCTGAGATAACTACTGTTGTGATATAGGGCGATACAAGAATACATTGAAATTGAATTGAAATTATAGTCATATGAACGAGCCCAGCTTATCTATAATTATTCTTAATATCAAGCTTGACTCCCACTTGTTATCATTAGCATTCATTATTCAAAAAAGTTGTAAACAGCCAGTGATGGATCATACTCAACTCAAAAACTATTATAAAAAAGTTGACAAAAACAACATTATGATCTAAAAAATTTGTCCTAGAAATATGTATCCATTAATGTTGATGCAAAACCATAAAATGAATTAAAGATAAATAGATTGTGCTTTTGTGTATGTTTTTCTTTTACGTCTATTCGGGTTGAGGAGGACTTCTTATACAACTCCACAGAAGTCTATATGATGCATGTTTGGACAGATGCACCAGTATTCTCACATCCTTCTGGTAAATGTGTATCTCGGACCTATTTGCTTTGTCAGCACACAATTATACATTCAGGCCTTAATCTGTGTGTTCAGACCGGTTTAGCTGGTTTTTATTTACGCACCATTTCCAAATATTCAGATGAGTTCCTATAGCGTCAGCCTGGGGTCAGTGTTTTTGCGGTGAACTCCTCGCCACATCCTGTGACACTTGCGACCTTGTGAGGCCAGTCATCCGCCGGAGTGAATTCCCCTCCGAAGCACAATCCTGTCTCTGTGTGTCGGTGAGGAAAATGTCTATCTCTGCGGATCTAGGCTCAAATATCCATATGGAAAGGAACTAGGTATCATCATTCCAAACACAACACGGTCGATTCTGCCATAAAAATGCACACTTTTTACCCTTAAGAAAAAAAAACCAGTAATAATAATGGAAAAATGACTCGCGTCTGCTTTTTCTTTAGTATGTACTGTATGATACTAAATATATGGTCCTACCAATACTTCTGGTGCTGCTACTATTACTATCACTACCACTTAACCGTCCTCGTACTGCTACTATAACCTACTTGTTACAACCACTACTGTTTTATGTTCATATTTTACTAGTAAACAGTGTCGCGCGGGTAAAACATTGCACGAGACAAGACAATAATTGCATACACTCGAGTAAGTCCTAGTTACTGTCCACCCGAGTCTGTTAATGGCAAACACGTCCGGAGTGGGTCCTGTTGTATTCCCCCTGGAGGCCTGACCCCCCCCCTCCACCACCACCACCACCTCTCTTCTCCTTTTTCCTCCTCCTCCTCCTCCTCACATTACATCTCTTAGAGCTATTGATCATTTCCTGACGCGGTGTTAGTGGAATGCTCGTCAGAGGCTGGGACATGAACGCACTAAGGCCCTGTCAATAAGCCTCACTGCCGGTTTGGACCACAGACCTCCAGCCGAGCGACTCCCACGCAGCAGCAGCAGCAGTAGCAGCAGCAGCAGCAGCAGCAGCAGCAGCAGCAGCAGTAGCAGCAGCAGCAGCAGCAGTAGCAGCAGCAGCAGCAGCAGCAGCAGCAGCAGCAGCAGCAGCAGCAGCAGCAGCAGCAGCAGCAGTAGCAGCAGCAGCAGCAGCAGTAGCAGCAGCAGCAGCAGCAGTAGCAGCAGCAGCAGCAGCAGCAGCAGTAGCAGCAGCAGCAGTAGCAGCAGCAGCAGTAGCACCAGCAGCAGCAGCAGCAGCAGTAGCAGCAGCAGCAGTAGCAGCAGCAGCAGTAGCACCAGCAGCAGCAGCAGCAGCAGCAGTAGTCATTTTCACTGATCAAGAACTGCAGGTGAAAATGAGACTTTGGCTACAATCTAACATGTTGACAATATGTTACCCAGATATTCATCGACGTGTACGGTCCCAGTCAAAGAAATAAATAAATAAAAATACAAATGCACTAACTTAGCAGTATTGATATGAGAGGGTAATATGTCTGCCATGACACGTTATACATAATTTTAAAGCAAGAAAACAGCCACATCCTTATTTTTTTTTATTATGTATTCTAACACACTAATCATTTGTTATAGTTATTGTTATACATTTTCCCCTTATCTTCAGTATTATCACTGCAATTAATTCCAGTTTCGATCAGCCCAAACAAACCTCACAACATAAGTAAGTAAGTAAGTATTTATTTATTTACATAACAATAATTTACATAACAATATTGTAATAATAATAATGTGTTTGGACAGCATTACCTCCATAAATTATAATATATTAAGAAATTATAGAAAATAAGCGCAGATATAGCTTCAAACAAACAATGGATACCTTGGTATAAAAGTACACTGACAAAAATGACAGATTCGCTCAATTTAATTCATCAGTGTTTACCCCTAAATCACAACAGCAGTCGTCTCAGAAAACAGCCGAGCCTTGTTGCTATGAGGCTGGTAACCGTGGACCATGTGTTGTTGTTGCAGGGCGGCCCGGTGGAGATCCTCCCGTTCTTGTACCTCGGCAGTGCCCTTCACGCCTCCAAGAAGGAAGTTCTGGACGCCACCGGTATCTCGGCCCTTCTCAACGTGTCCGCCGACTGCCCCAACCACTTCGAGGGCGCGTACCAGTACAAGTGCATCCCGGTGGAAGACAACCACAAGGAGGACATCAGCTGCTGGTTCCTGGAGGCCATCGAGTTCATCGGTCAGTAATTAAAAACTAGAGCAAAGAGAAATAGTTCTGCGCACATGTGTTTACTTCCGGCTGCTCCAAATCTGTCTGACGCATGATGTTGTTTTGTAGGTCATATGATTATCAGGTCAGATGTGGGATGATGCATTCCCTGCTTGCTGGATTTGATTGTGGGCCATCAGTAACCCCACAGACTGCAAAAAACAAGCATACAAATATATACCATTTAAATGTCGGTCATGGGAAACATTTACTTTGGGATCTTATCTTTTGCATAGTTGTAAGAAAGTTCCCTCTGAGTCGTTGTTTGGGGTTTTGAGTCGAGAACTGAATGACAGTGGTCCTATGTTTTTTCAGTTTTATGTCTAAAAATACTGATCTAAAGGTGTGACAAAGGCCAAAAATACATGCCAACATTTTTGAGAGCCAGAAAGAGTTTATTGCATTGTTTTTATATTGTAGTTTATGTACCCCAGCTTTAGCACAGCAGTAAGGCATTTTGCACTTGACAAATCCAAAGGCATTAGCTTTAATCTGGCACTTTAGGCGTGTATTTCTTTCTTTTTTTTTGGCATAAACACAACTGGATAGATTCGAAATAGAACGATCAGTAAATATAAGTGTAGCACAAATAAGTATATGTTATCGGCTGTAAATCAGTTCTTCTCATATGGCGGCTCTAACGATGACTAACCTGACATTTTCCTACACAAATCCGCTGTCGTAATACGTTATGGGTTATTTACACGCCGATCACGCTAATCCATATCAGATCATGTTGTCACCCGCCTCGGCAATGACACACAGGGATGAGGCTGTGAAGGGAGTGAGGCCATAGTGCTGTGTGCGTCAGGACTGAGCTGGGACTGGCTCTGACTCACCGCCGGCGCCAAGGAGTTACCTGACATGTGTCCGAAAAGGCGGGAATTGTGCCATGAAGTCATATTTTTAATTGCGAGAATGTTGATGCTCATTTACAACTATAACAAATGAATGCAAATACGTTTTCTTATACGAGAAGAGAGGAAATTTGAGGCACTTTTGACAGAAATTAAACAGGGGCTAGCTTCATGTAGGGCATTCTTCTTCAGCCACTCCCTTGTTCATGATTTTTTTACTGAATTTTTCTTTGGATATTTTACCTATCAGTAGTTTTTTTCCACTGCTTATCCTCACGATCAATCAATCTTTATTTATAGAGTGCTTTTCCTACACAGGGTAACACAAAGCGCCTCACAGTCCACACCACACAAGGCACAAATCATCACGTAAACAAAGGCAAAATCACCATTAAAAATACAATTTAAAAATTTAAATCATTAAAACATTAGAATCACACAAAGGATTACAATTATAAATAACACGGTGCGTTAAAAAGATAAAATTATTCAGTTGTATGCACAGAAATAAAAGAAAAAGTCTTTAACCTGGACAAGCAGCCGGATTTTATTTATGTATTGTTTTACCACATCTTTTTTTCTATCTGTTGTCATTTTTGTGATAATTAATAGTATTTATTAATTGAGTATAATCATTCAATTTGTGATTGGATTTTGAAGCTTCAGAAGATTCATTAAAAAAAAGGACTGCCGGCTGCCTCTGCTCTACTGCGCTCTCAAATGACATAAATATGACTTCCTCTGTGAGACCATTTCATAAGTAAATAGTAAGTAATTAATCGTTATTGATATACCGCCTTTCACAGACCAGAGTCACAAAGCGGTTTACAATTCCAACTCCACACAGAGATGGGAGCAGGGTCGCCAGTACAGGAGGTGCATGCCAGAACTATTGTACATGTTTTTAGTGTGAGGGGAAACTGGAGCACCTGGAGGAAACCTACCCAGACACGGGGAGAACAGGCAAACTCCACTCAGAAAGGCCCTGTTCCGACCGGGATTCGAACCCATCCATCCATCCATTTTCTTCCCATTAATCCATTTCTGGGTCGAGGGGTGGCATTCAGAGCTGCACCCAGTCACAGAGCACCAGCCCCTCACTGATCCTCCTGCAGGGGGTGAGTCCACAGGAGCTGAGATCTTTCAGTTGGAGCTTCAGGCAAAGTTAGGTTAAGTGTCTTGCCCAAGGACACAACAACAGCAGACATCAGTGGGAGTCGTGAAGTGGGCTCGAACCCACGACTCAAGGCTCAAAGGCCAATGCTCTACCAACTGAGCTACTGTCGCCCCAGTAGTGTCGAACCCAATCGAGCCTAAATAGTTCTTGTCACATAATTATCTCTGACAGACGGCACAATAACGTGGTCTCAAAAATAACATGTTTTATCCAGTTAAATAAATACATCCAATGACAGCAGATGCATTCTGCAGACGTCATGAAGACCTATTGCGCGGACTCAAAAAACTTCTTTATGCTCAGGCTAATTCTCTGCAGGCTGCTGCTCACAATTGTTAAACTAATCATGCCGACGGAGCTCATTGGGGATATTGAATTAGTGGAAAAGTGGGACTGGTGGAATGCAACGCAGAAGAGAAGAGAGGGGGTGTAGATAGAACAGACGAGGAAGTGTTTTTTGCTCTTGCGTGGTTGTGCGGCTAAATGTGATATTCTGATTTTCTCACTCTGAGCTCAGACAGTGTGGAGGGAGGAGGAAGTGATAAGCGTTGCTGCTGATTCTTTTGAGCTATTTTAGACGTGGTATATGAGGAGATATGTTTGACACTTCAGAACAGACGTGTCGCGCGATATATAACATGTTACCAATGTTGCATCTTGCTGCGTGTGTTAGAATAAAATAGATACATTCTCTCCAAGTCATTCTGGTCAGTGTAGCAGTGCGACTACTCCCTTCACTGCAAATTACAATGAGCAAATGTTGTTGATTGGAGTAATCAAGTGGGCTATACAGAACAAAAGAAATGCAAATACTCTGAGGTAGTAACATTGCTGTCTTACCCTCACCACTAAAATCATGCACAATATGTCTGGCATGCACCTCCTGTACGGCGACTCCACTCCCATGTGTGGAGGGAGAGACCAATACCCCCCACATTTGAAAAGCGCTTTGTGACTCTGGTCTTTGAGCTGTAATTGATAAAGATTACTTACTTACTTAAATTGCCCGGTATAGAAGAAACTATAATCTCGATCAATGATCATAATTAGGGCCGGAAATGGTTTTAAAAAACATGTCCATATTTCTCAGCATATATGAATGGGATAATTGTAGTATATATAATATGGGTAGTTGACAAAAGGAGAAAACAGTTCTGAAGGAATCATTAAAATACACAACTTAGAGTGCTTGGATAGACAAATTGACAAATGTGCATAGGTAGATTGATAGATACATAGATACAATATTCTTTATTTATGCCACATGGGAGATGTTTCCATTCAGATGATTCAGATTCATTTTATTTGCCATGTGCAGTATAAAAACCACATTGGAATACATTTGCACCAACAGAATAAATAGCACAATACAGTGTAATATAAAATACAAATACACATACACTGAACATGAATAAAAACACGTTGTGGCACCAATCGACAAAAATAAAAATAACCTATACATGGGGTAAAAACAACAATTAAAGTGCTCTGTTTAGACACCTCACAGCTTGTGGAAAGAAGCTGTTAGCATAGTGAGATGTCCTGCATCTCAGCGACCGATATCTTCTGCCCGAGGGAAGAAGCTGGAACATGGCTTTCCCAGGGTGGCAAGAAGAGTCATTGATGATTTTAAGAGCTCGGTTTAAAAGTCTGGATTCATAAAGAACCTCCAGAACAGGAAGCTCACCGCCCAGATACATGATACATGAAACTATCAATAAAAACATTCCAATCTAAATCAAGTAACCAAGGATTACATTTTATTATTGGCTTCTCTTCAAGTTGTGAAGAGAGAGTGAAACTTTTTGAAGACAAGCACGAGTTAGCTACCCACGCCATAGGCTCCTGATTGGTTGAAATTTAAAATTGAGGTGCCTTTATTATTAATTTACATATTCCTCAACCAGAAAATCTCACTGGCTGTGTTCATGCCAAGGGAAGAGGCTATTTCAAATGTATTATTGTTAAAACATACTTTACAGAATAGTACAGTGCACCATGCTCAGTAATAAATATTATTTATAGAGTGAAGTACGACTATAGTAGTTACCAGCTTTAGGCCTGTTTTAAGCTAAGCACTGCTTCGCGGGCGCCTTTACACACATTTGACCTGACTGAGTGAAAGTGTAATGGTTATGTATATTTGTAATAAACTGAACTGAACCCGTCATACACACTGCTCAAAAAATCAATAGTTCTGACCCACTGTCCCTCTTGTCTGTGCAGACTCGGTGCGGGACTCCAGGGGGCGCGTGCTGGTCCACTGCCAGGCCGGCATCTCTCGCTCGGCCACCATCTGCCTGGCGTACCTGATGAAGAGGAAGCGGGTGCGTCTGGATGAGGCCTTCGAGTTTGTGCGCAGGCGTCGCAGCATCATCTCCCCCAACTTCAGCTTCATGGGTCAACTCCTGCAGTTCGAATCCCAGGTCCTCGCCACCTCCTGCGCCGCTGAGGCCGCCACCACCGCCAGCCCCTTGCTAGGCCCCAAGTCCGCCGCCAACACGTCAGCCGCGGCCACGCCCACTTCGCCGTTCATCTTCAGCTTTCCCGTATCGGTGGTCAACCCCGTTTACCTGCATCACAATCCCATCACGACGTCTCCCGGATGCTGATACGGACCTTGAAACCTCGCGGCCTGGAGAGTTTGGACAAAAGCCGAGCACTCACGCTGGGCTGTGATTGGCCGAATGAGTTGCCAGTCTCGCAACGCTGACAGCTACATGCTTCCAAAAAAAAAAAAAAGGCGGGAGAGTTCACGTTGCGGTGCCTAACAAAGACAACTATAGACAGTAGAAGGGATGAGGTAGGGGTGTCCTCTCTCCCCATTGCTTTTTGTGTTCTAATTCAAAATGAATCTCTGGCAGCTAGACTACTGCAACTCATTATTAGATTTTTGTGTTATTTTGGTTTGCCACATGCAGTTTATTCATTTGCTGGCTTGACAAGTGTGCTTTAGTTTAACAAAGTAGCCTAATAGTTTGCAAAATTACAGTTTTGGGCCATTTATCTGTTCATCTTCAGAAATCTAATTGGACTAAAACCATTTTTTTCATTTGCCTTCACAATTTCCCAAAAGAGAAAGCGTCCAAATCCACTCTTCTTCTACTGTCTATGCTACTTACAAAGACTTTTCAACGGTACAATAACCATTCACCATTTATTACAATAGACAAAGCACATTCTTGGATTTTGATTTTATTATGACAAACAAACAAACAAACATCTCTGGACTGGAGTTTTGGACTGATCCAGCACTCACACACACTCACCTCTCTCTTTCTCTCATTCATCACGAGCAAATGAATAAGCTCAGTATGAGGACGGGGCCTGTTGCTGCGGCGACGGAAGGAGATGGACACAGGAAGGAAGGAGGAATCTTAAGTTCCCCCTCCATCCTCCTCTCTCTCTCTCTTCCTCCCTCCGCTGGGCGACAAAAGATGAGTGAAGGAGTGATGAGTACCAGTGACAGGTGCTTTGCTGGCTTCCTCTCTGCCACTCTCTCTCTCTCTCTCTCTCTCTCACTCTCTCTCTCTCTCTCTCTCTCTCTCTCTCTCTCTCTCTCTCTCTCACACACGCACACCTTCCTTCCTTTCATCCTTTTGTAAGCCCCCATTTCCCCTCCTTTTTGCTTTCTTCTCTTGGATAAATAAATCATACCACATGCCAAAAAAAAAAAAGGCTACAAGCAGAGGCCCAGACAGGAGTACAGAGATGATCCTTAAGATTAGAAGGACTTCTCGACATTTTAGTGACATTTTAAAGCTGGGGTACCCAACTTTACCAAAAAAAAGTATATACAATTCATATTGTTTTTTTTCAGACCACAAAAATCAGACCACATTGGAAAACATTCTCTGTGAGTTCCATGCTGGTTCTATTTTTGTCTGAAAAATTGGTTCTAAAATTGTGGCCGAGGCCGAATTACATTTGTTACATGGATTTTATTATAACATTAAATTTTTGTGATTTTAAAAATACTGTACATACCCCAGCTTTAAGAATTATCACTTGCCTATTCATCTTGCATTTCCTCGAAACATTTATTTCTGTACAAGTGGCTTTTTGAACCAACTTGCTTAGGGAAGTATAACGTGGAGTCAGTGGCCTCTGTTGTTCACGACCACCGTTTTTTAAAATAAGTTTGTGCCTTGTTCTTAAAGGTATCGCATGTATTTACAGTAAGCTCCTCTGGGTTGAATTTGGAGATAATACAGTCATAAATTAAAATCTCTTACCTAACTCACACACAAGTACAAAAAAATGAAGAATATTTCTCTTGAATATACTGTATTTTTACTTGTAGAGAGATTTGGCCATTTTTGTTATATTTTTTTATGTAGTATTTTTTCCCGAGTTTTAACAACGACTCGATTTGCTCTTTGAATGCAAGACAGGATGAGAGTAATATGCCCAAAATCAGCAGCCCTCCTGCTGTTTGCTCTGGCTGTTGATCTCCAAAGTCCACCTATAGGTGCCTTTTCACCCAGTCGTCGTCCGGTTAAACATTCACAAACATGTTACAAAGAAACTCCACCGCTGTGTTTTTGGACGGTTGTCGGCACCTCTCTGTAGCACTTTGAAGGGATGCAATATTGTATTTATTATAATTTATGATTGATTTGCACATTATGGTGAAGATAGGTTGACTAGGCAACGCAATGGAGCAATGAGAAAGAAAAGAGAGAGCCAATCAGTGGTAAAAACGCAATACTAAATATCTTTGGTTTGTCCATGTGTGTCCGTGAGTCCGTCCACTGGATCTGGTTTTCAGGTCAGCGCTGTTGGACACTGTGGCAATATCAGCTCTCCACTGGAACTTTTCAAAGACTCTCCCTCAGTTTTATTGTGAATGAATGATCTGTGCAATTATTTATTACTAAGAATACAATGTTGAATAAAAAACTTTTCTTTATGACAATCTGTGAAAGTGTGTTTTTTCCCTTTTAATAACTTCTAAATAATAATACAGGAAACCAGGCCGTAGAATGTGTGGGTCTTTAGAAAGTAGCTCAAGCTTAATATTTTAAGTTTAACATTAAATCAAAAACAGAGCACTTTGTAGGAGTCTGTGCTCTTCATACACTAACATGATATATCTCTGTCCTATGCCTGTGATTCTTTCTGAATCCTAGCTGCAGGGCCAAGAGCATGAATAGTTAGCAAATTGCGCCCCCCAGTGGACTTAGAAAGCACTATTTGTTGCTGCATGAGTTGAAGAGATTTTAGGCTTTGTAATGTTTACTGCATATTCAAACAATACAACCCCACTGTTTTTCATTATTCATTTAAAATCACGGTATTCTGGGGTCACTTAGCAGCGGAGTGGTTAGCACTTGCTTCTCGGTAAGAAGGTCCTGGGTTCAAATCTCGATTGGAACAGAGAGATTGCCTGTTCTCCACTTGTCTGCAAAGGTGTCCTCCAGGTGCTCCAGTTTACCCTAACACAAAACATGTACAACAGGTGACAGCTCTGGTCCTGGTCAATCCGAGCATCACCATCTGGAGACAGTTCCACTGTGACTGCTCCTGACTGAGGCCCTGGTGACGCTGAGGGGTATTCAAAGGAATAGTGTCCATATGGGGACAGTAAATATAACATTACCAAGTTGTATATGGTCCTTGTTTCTAAAGGTCAATAATCCTAAGTATTCCATACATTGTTTACACACTAAATGACTGCTCTGACTGGAAACAGGTGGTTATGTCAGAATACATCATACCTTCCAAAACTACCTTACACAGAGTATTCTCTGCTGCTGTGTTATACATGGTATATAATGTGTGAAATGTATTGTCAGGTTCAAAGTTTATGCTAAATCTGAAGTTAATTATGTTAAGACAAGATTTCCACCTGTAGAGAACTTAAACTTTCTCGCAATGGAGACATTTACAAAATTATCCATTGACCTCCTTCACCCTTGTAGAAACAATGGTAGTAAAGTATAGAAATGAAAAGTTCTGATTTATGAAGGATTTTATTCTGTACAATGGTGCTCCACATGTCAGACTGTACATCTGTACACAGAGGAAACACCTCAGATATTTACACAAACATGATGCCAGCTCTGCAGTCCAGCACCGCACTAACCGTTTACAACACAATCCAAAGAGTTGTCACATTAAAACATCTTTACAGGAAAAATAATGTTTTAAACGTTACATAAAAAAGGCTGCAAAAGCCTGGCAGTTTCGAACTGTCATTTTGCTCTGGTATTTTTTGTTTCTTCTGCAAATTGTTTGTTTTACATTTTCTTTTGGCTGTAGTGAAAGTAACGACACAATTCAGCAAACATGAGTTAGTTTGAACAAAGCCTCACAAGCCCACTGCTGCCAGGCCCAACTGCAAACTTCACATTCTGCATTAGAGGCACCCTGATGGAGGATATAACAGAGCTCACGTTTACAACAAACGATATGTGTCGGTTCCAATAGTGTTTAAAGTGTTGTAGATAAAAACAGCTTCATTTTAAGGCCATTCACATTCAAATATAGAAATGTAGACATACACATGAAAACCACTGTGGTCCCCTATCACTGTCATCATGTTAATACAAAATAAATAAACCATGATAAAATATCGTGAGCTTAAAGATTGTGTGTTCTAAACAATGTAAATTTTAGTTATTAACCATTCAAGCATTTTTCTCATAAGAAAAAAATGGAGGCAGACACGTTTCTACTCTGAAAGATGAATACATTTGTGGTAGCGCTTTCTGTCCACCAGAGGGCAGACTATGCTCGAGTTCAATGTAGGCAGCGTGTAAACAAAAGTACATGTGTTATCATAAAAGCAATATAAAATGAAATACAAGAATACAGTTGAAATTGATCTGGATCTTTGTAACAATAGAGACTATGTTTGAGGCTTGACCGTCTGTTTAAAAGGTGCACTACACAACGTTCCTGATAGAGGATGGAGATCTGCTGCAACTTTCTTGTGGAGAATTTAACTAGAATGTTCCACAATACAACATTAAATAGGCGTATGAAGGAAGTCTAGAGTCAAAAGTATGACTTATAAAAGTGTTTAAAGCGCTTAAAGAAGAAGACGTCACTGCTTCACCACCTGAATAACAGACAGTGTGCATTCAACTAGGTTAGGGTTAGGGGAATTCTGTTCTGCCAATTACCGACCTAAGGACTGATCTGTTCACATTTGGTATCCATAATCGCAAATAAGTAATCTAAGTATTACGTAAGCATATATTCAAACAAATATAGTGATTATTATAGTCTCCAAAATTGTACATTTCTGCCAGTAAATGTATTTACAGGTACAGAAATGTGGTTCAAATGTTCATTTATATTTGTGATTTAACTTTAAATGTGAAACCAATATATGATATGAACTCATCACATGCAAAGTGACGTATGCCAAACCTATTTCAGTTATTTTGATCATTATGTCCATTATGTCTATTGATTACAGTCAATTTTCAAAATATTAACACATTTTATATAAGTTTTCCTTTGGGGTTTTCACAAACTGTGAGCCAGTAAACATTAGAACAAATAAAGGCTTGATATGTGTCTCTTTGTGTCGCATGAGTTTAGTCATATGTTAACGTCACATTTTAAGTTGAATTATGGAGGTAAATGAACATTTGAACAATATTTCTTCTGTAAATACATTTACCTGTACACATTTAGAAAGCTTGGAGACAATAAGGGTCACTATATTTGTTTCACCTGCAGGAGGAGGAGCTGACGTGGTGTTTTGACTTTATGATCCTTAGAGCTAGCGTAGCGTCTGTGCAGACTTTTACAGTCATCAATCAGAGAAGCATGGAATGTAATACAAGGGAATTTAGCTGCGCTTTAACATGAGGAAAAACATGTCTATCTTGGCTGAGCTAAAGCTCCACAACATTCCAATGGTGAAAAAAAGGCAAATATCTAAAGTCTCTGATGAAACCGGTTGGTTCCAGCATTTAACCAAACACATTGCTGTGCGTGTAAAAATAGGAAGAACAATATAACTGATGCAATGCAGTAAATGAAGGAAACAAATAAAAGACAGATTCATCTTTAAGGAGACAAGAAGGTGGACCCACAATGCACCTTTACCAAACACTCTGTAACCCCAAACATCATTTCTAAAGTGAAAATAATGTGAGAGGCAAAAAAAATAATGTGAAAGAAGGAGGCTTGAAATGAAAAAAAGTGTTTTTGCTTTGTGGCCCCGGGGAATTGTACCAAAATACAATTCAAATGACAGGGAGTGTGCCAACTGCAAAAGAATGTGTTTTGCCTTGAAGAATGAAGCAGAAATACAGCGCTCCATATTTGGGCTGATCTCCTTCACGTGTGCGCGCCCATGCACACGTTGGCCTGGTGTTTTCTGTCCGTTTGCTTCTGTCTTTTTAGAGTCTTCACTGTTTCTGTTCTGCGGCGGCAGCTGGCGGGGCCACACTCTCCGGCTTCACAATCTGATACGTGATTAGATATTCGGGAAACGCCTGCACAGAAAGAGTTTAGTTATTAGCAAATATTGTGCGACAATGTGTGATACTTCTACAATGCACAAACACAAACTCCTTTCTACTAAAACACAGGATAGCTGCTGAGCCATCATCTGTATTTTAGTTAGTAGGTTTTCTGACATTTCGTCCTTTATCTGAAGAACTTTCTCAAGAAAATGAAAGCTCAGATGCGAGTTAGAGATTATAACCTGTGGGAGTGGTTAGACCCTGATCCTGAGGCCAACTCTTTCACATCTAAACATTGACCCAGTCCCAATACTCGCACTTCCACCCTCGCGCCGCACATTTGCACGTTCCCGATGATGGGTGAGAGTGCTTAGGGCTTCCCAATTCTCCAGGGAGGTCTTTGGCCCCGCCCCCTTTGCGCCCCTGATCCACACTTCGCCGTAGCTTGCATCTATGCGCACTCTGGTGAAGGATATTGCCCAGAATTCTTTGCGGTACACACCAAAACGTCGGGAAAATGCATTTAAGTGTAAGGTGTGTATATACATTTTGCTGTTACTTGGATAGAAGCATAAATGACTAATTGAAGAATTACGGCCATTCTATGCTAACAATTTAATAACTTTTTTAATCCAAGCATTCATATAACATTCAATTTAAACTTTACACTTAGTACAATAACCCTATGGATGTATAAAAACTTACTAGATAACAGTTAGTTACCCACATTTAACTTAAAATTAGACGGCTATCTCAAATTACAAATAACCAATATACATTTATTTTAACCTGTGTGGAGCAACTCATTTTGTTTCCCACAGGATCAGACAAAATTACCTTTTTATAAAGTTTAGGTCTGAAAATGACCATCTCTTGACTTGTCGATGACGTAACCTGCTCTCATGTGCACTGTCCCAATTCCGCCTTTTTTGCACGCTTGTAACCTGCCACTCAAACCCACTTGTTTTGAATAATCCCTGTACGACTGAGAGCCTACACAAACTTACTTTCTACAAACGTAACTAGGAGAACGGACCTTTTTTATTGATGAAGTAAAGTCATGGCTTCCAGTTAAATTTAGAACTGACTTTAAGAGTAAGCTGTTTTTAAAGCCGTGGGAATGGATTTGTGAAAGATATGAACATTCTAGTTCTGTGTGAGAGACAGCACAGTGCCATAGTTGCAGAACTGCTCGATAAAACTTTCTCTACAGCATGCTGGCTTCTCACAAACGTTTACATATGTTTTTTCTTTCATAATTATCTGTATTTATTTTTGTTCTAGTTAATGCTGTTATTTAACTACAGTCGAACCGGGACAAAATCACACACACAAACCGGACATAGTTTCTGCATTTTTATCACTTGGTTGTCCTCTAAGAAGAAGTGGCGTTTGAAACAGACACAGAGCCCTTTCTGCTGTATCTCTGTTTCCAACACCAGATCTCCTTGGAGGACATCCAAGGGATAAAAATGCAGGAACTAAGTACTTTTTTTGTCCAGGCTCAACTGTATTTAAGTAACAGCATTAACAGTTCTTGATTTTAGGTGTCCTCTATAACTTATGTTTCAGAGCTACACCTTTTGTCTTTTTAACTTCAAAATGTGTCAAAACTGATGCCTAAGGGTTAAATATTCAGACATAACCATATACGTGTTGAGAAGTAGTTGACAAAAGATAAACTTAAGATATAGAAGGACTAAAACATGAAAATAAATGAACATGATAGAAGCTTTATTTTTTTCTTTCCAGTTTACGGTAGTCCTTTTCCTTCTATGCATTTCCAGGGCTCCTCCTTTTTTCTGTTTCACTTGACATTTCTGACACAAAAGGTTCAGAGGTTATAGGGGTAAGTGGAACAATGTCTTGGTCCAGTATTGAAGCTGGTGGAGGGCACACACTTGCCCTGAGGTGTTGGTTATCACAGAGACAGACGGGCACGCACCTGTTCCCCTCTGTAGATCACGTACTCGGCGTAGGCCAAACCGTTCACACTGGGACGGCCGATGACCGAGTGGTGACCGGGAGGAGCGTGAGCCATCTTCATCGCACTGAACTGAAGGAACGACTTTCCCAGCGTCACTCTGCAGAACAGCATCTGTCTACACACACAACACAACACAACACAACACAACACACCAGTCAGCGGGGCATGCTTGAACACAGATTATAAAGAAAACTACCTTATTCAATACCCCAGCTGCGATTTGTAAAGAAACATCTTAAAATACTGTTAGATTCACAGGAAGTAGAGCTGATTGAGATTTGATGACATTAGTGAGACTCGTAGTGCAACCAAAAGTTATTATCTGACTCTTCCAGGGGTGTGAGAACCTTTTTCTGTATTTAAGCAATTATTCTATACAAACAATGTTAATGGTGATTAACTAAATAGCCAATACATTACGCCAACACTATGATGGATTCTGAATACTTTTACTGAATACTACACTCTTGGTCCGGTGGTCACTCGTGTGAGTAAGCACTCTGTGTATAAGAACCTAAAAACAGGAATGAGAATTATTTAATTTCAATTTATTAACTGTCATATTTCATGAATTGCATAAAATGAGTGTCCAGGTGGAACTCGAGACCACCAGGCCTTTGCTGCTGCTGCTCTAAAACTGTGGAATATATTACTTCTGTACATTAGAGCAGTGTTTTTCTATATAAAACACAATGAATGCAGATTGCAGAATATTTTTTTAAAGTTTCAGCTGGTGCTGTGCCATGTAAAGGTGTGCCACTGCTGAAAAAGGTTGGGGAACACTGCATTAGAGCAGCTCCCTCATTGGAACTTCATCTCTTACTACCTAACTACTCCAAATGCATATTTTTGACATTTTTTTAGAAGTACCATAGATGGAATTCGAGCTTTAGCAACACACAGTTTTCCAGCTGCTCACCAGGGGGCAGAGCTGTCTCACTTCCAAAGTGTCAGTCTCCTTGGTTTCACTAAAACGGATTTTCTAGGCATACATTTCAAGTCAGTCTCACGACCAACCTCTAATAATATGAAACCAAAACTGAAATGAAAGATTAAAATATAGATACAGTACATGTCAATCAGTAGATTATCTCTCCTCTGGGTTTTTCCAAGGGTCAGCTCTATTTACCACAGCGAGCCAATCTTGCAAACATCCCAGAATGCATTGCCTGTGAAGGATTGTATATTCTCAGAGAGCAGCCGTCAAGGCTATGCTCACACTCAGAGAGCAGCCATCCTCCTGTGGACTCACCACCTGCAGAGGGTCAGTGAGGGGCTGGTGCTATGAGACTTGGGTGGCATCTCTGATTGCCACCCCCCTGACCCAGAAATGGATTAAAGGGTAGAAAATGCATGGATGGATGGATGGATTGTATATTACTACCCCATAAGATGTTTTTTTCTGAAATATCAGATTTTTCCTGTCACTCAAATAGTATTGGTTTCAGTTGGTGTTGGCTTTTAACTTTACTTTTTTACATTTTACATGCATTTGTGTTTATTTCATGCTATTTTCTTTTTTTTCTTGTGAGCCTGTGCAGTACTTTGGGTAGCTGGTGTTGTAAGTGTGCAATACAAAACAAGCCATGACGGGGTCCACTTGGCTTGGAATACATACAATATTTAATTACAGATGTCAGCAGTTGCAACCTGTAACTTAGCCTCATGAAGAAAGAAGCTCAACTCCAAAAAAGATAGAAGTAAAATTCTTCACCGCAGGAAATTCAAGGAAAAAAAAACAAAAAACAAACTCTTCACCCAAACTCTAAATATAAACAGTTCAATGTTTGCGGGCCCAGAGGAAACCCGGCTCACCTGTGGCACACGTAACAGGAGCGGTCTTTGTGGGTGGGACAGCCGGTGCCCCCTCCGATCCCGTACACGTACTGGTTGCTTTTGGAGGAATTCTCGGCAAAGTAGATCCCCGCCCCAAACATGCCCCCGATGTAGGCGTGGCGCTCGTCAAAGCCTTTGTGGATGATGGCGTTGATGAAGGGAGAACCTGGGGAGAGAATTGGTGAGTGATTTGAATAGATAAAAAGAAAAAAGCTGCAGTTTGACCCTCCAGTGATGGTGACTACAAATAAAAGGCATTACTGAAGCGTTTACAGCACATCTCAGCTGGAGCTCTCACTACAGCCCTGGGAGGATCATCTCCGGATCGGAAAAAACAGCCGGATATGCTACTTGAACATTACCCATAATGCTTTGTACCTTGAGGGGGTGCACGGTATCATGCGTGTATGGCTCTATATGAGATTCCTCACTGTTGTGGGTTGTGGTCATCGCTCCACAGTGATAAGATTTTCTGTTTCTCCACTTTCATTTTTCTTTCTTTGAACCATGCCTCACAGTTGTCTTTGGTCAGGCCAGCCGAAGGACCAGGCTGTGGGGAAATTCAAACACCGGGAGAGTCTGCTGGTCCCATGAGCTCAGAGGGCGGAAAGAGACACTTATCTCCTTAGTTCTCAGTGGGGGGTGTTTTCTTTTGGTTTTCCTTGGTTCAGTTAGGTCGTTGACTTTAGTTGGCCCCAAGTATTTGTTACGTTTTTTGTTTTGTCAAGTTATATTTTTCTGATTTAAATTATAGATGATTTTACATCTGTTGTCCTTGCCTTATGTTTGGTCCACAACATAGATCATCGGCCATTTCTACGTTTGTCAAAAGCATCTCTCATACTCATGCAGTCTGTTGATAAGAAAAGATAAGATAAACCTTTATTAGTCTGACAGTGGAGAAATTTCAATGTCATTGTTGGAGAGGAAGTGTTCGTAGAAATGACGTTTTTCTGTAAAATTGTTCTTCCTGGTTGCGTTCATGATTATTAGGGCAATAAAGGTCACAACTTTTCCAATAGTTAAAATAGATAAATACATTCAGAGGCTTTACTCAAAAACAAAATTAATCCACACCATTAAGAATATAACTAATTATAAATGTTTGGGTAGTTTTAGTTCAAGCAGACAGTTTTGATGTGTGTGTGATTTTGAGAAAGATTCGATCACATTTGATGGTGATTCTGTGCAGAAAGGAGAGGAATTCAGAGATCGCTTCAGATACTTTTTCATGCCACAGTCGGTGCAAATAGTAGATTAATCCCATTTGAAATATTCAGCAGATGATTCATTTACTTTCAAAATGTGTGCTTCTTTACTATGCTAAAGTTGGAGATTTTAGACTTGCTCCTTTATTCCGCCAAAGCTAGAGATTTTTTAGTATAGTGTATTCTTTTGCTATGTGCTCCTCATTCCAACTGGTCTGTATCTGACGACGCAACACTGAAATTTCCCCACAGTGAGACGAATAATTTTAAATAGCAAGACTGTGTGAAGCCTATCAATAAACAAACAAACTTGGAAGGATGAGATGAGCTGGTTGTAGATCTCTGGTGTGATTAATTTGTAACTAATATATTCCTTGCGCTTTAGCTCACACCACTGAGCAATGCGAGTCTGTAGTAAACGCCATCTGCCGTCAAATGAAGCGGTGTAACTGTATATAAAGTGTAATATGATCCAAAGTACTCGCATTTCAGATTTACTCACCGTGAAACAGCATCCGTTCGTTGTGATGGTTATGATTTTCATCTGCAATCTCTTTTTGCCGGTGTGTGTATCGTTCCCGCAGCTTCTTATTCACCACTTTCTGAATCTGTGGCGAAAGAAAAAACTGAATTTAGGGAGTGCCTTGAGTTTGAACCAACGGAAAGATGACGTCGTGCTCTTTAAAGAGAGTTTTGTGACAGTTGATGAGTGAACTAACCTTTATGATGTTGTACCGACTGAAGACTCCGCCTGCGTTGCCTCCATCTCGGTGCTCTCGGATAGTGCTCTGCAGCTGTGGGGACAAGACATGTAGAAAAGTGACATGATGCGGCGAAGGGTTTATTGACATTAAAGCTGGTCATCGTTGGTGGGATGACAATACTTTAATTAAAGCCGCAAGTGTGCAAACAATGATCAAATATGAGATCATAATTGCTAGAATCGAGTTTTTTTTAACTTGACTTAAGTTCATTCTGACTGTCTTAAAATGAGATTTGCAAATGAGACAAGCAATTTTGACTTGATTCAAGAACTATTGCTTTATTTTCTCATTCCAAGAGAGAAATATCTTGTATCTTTTTAAAACAAGATCATTTTTCTTGTTCCACTGGCAAATCTTGTTTTAAGGCAGTCAAAATGTGCTCAAATTTAGATACATTTAGCCAAATTTGAGCATTTTTTGTCTTTAATTCTGTCATCTTTTGCAGTGGCGTCTAACGGCCCTCCCACAGAGAGTGACCAGAGAGACACCAGAGAGAGACCAGAGAGAGACACCAGAGAGAGACCAGAGAGAGACCAGAGAGAGACCAGAGAGAGACACCAGAGAGAGACCAGAGAGAGACCAGAGAGAGACACCAGAGAGACACCAGAGAGAGACCAGAGAGAGACACCAGAGAGACACCAGAGAGAGACCAGAGAGAGACACCAGAGAGAGACACCAGAGAGAGACACCAGAGAGAGACACCAGAGAGACACCAGAGAGAGACCAGAGAGAGACACCAGAGAGAGACACCAGAGAGACACCAGAGAGAGACCACCAGAGAGACACCAGAGAGAGACACCAGAGAGACACCAGAGAGAGACACCAGAGAGAGACACCAGAGAGACACCAGAGAGAGACCAGAGAGAGACACCAGAGAGAGACCAGAGAGAGACCAGAGAGAGACACCAGAGAGAGACACCAGAGAGACACCAGAGAGAGACCAGAGAGAGACACCAGAGAGAGACACCAGAGAGACACCAGAGAGAGACCAGAGAGAGACACCAGAGAGAGACACCAGAGAGACACCAGAGAGAGACACCAGAGAGACACCAGAGAGAGACACCAGAACCGAGGCCCCCTCTGCATACAGCCCTGATGGGAGAAACACTAACACTGTAAATGCCTATGATCAGTGAGCGTGAGTCTCCACCGAATATCATGGGACCTTTCATGCATGTCTATTGAAATAAGCCCAGAATACGTGTCTGCTGCGTGCACAACATTTACACTGTTTAACCAATCACAAATCTGAAACTAACTTTTGATTCTACACTTATTTAATCGACGTGGAGCTATTTTGAGCTCTGTTAGTAAAATGACAAGGCTGCAAAGAAAAATTGCAACTTTTTCAATTACTCTGTGGCGGGCGCTAATGCTGCAATTTCATGTTTCCCACTTTCAGCTGAACTAGATCCAAGAGTTTAACAACCGATTCATGTTTGGTGCTAATCGAACGTAAACAAGAGCAAATTTGTATCTCCACAGAAATTGGAGCTACTTCCACACCATTTAACGTCATCAAGATTCTGCAGCAAACCTTTGATGCTACATGTGTTCAAATTGGTGAAATGGCAGAGGCTGGTTCGTTAATAGTGTGAGGTGAAAACTTGAGAGATTTTATGAATTTTCTCCAGTGTTCGGAGTGAGTTCTGTGCTGCTCTGCTTTTGAAAGTCATTATACATTTGAATAACAATTGAATGACATAGATCAGACGGATGTTTTTGGAGGTAGGAGAAATTAGGGCACCCAGAGAAAACCCACCGAGACAAGGGGAGAACATGCAACTTCCACACAGAAAGGCCTCTCGCCATCAGGGATTTGAACCTAGGACCTTGTTGCTATATTGGTTTCACATCTGATGTTAAATTACACGAGTAAATGAACTTCTGAGCATTATTCTAATTTTCACTTCCACTGACATTCAAAAGTGGCAACTGTTATCCCTATTTAGAAAAAATCTCTGAATGCAATAATCCTGAACGTAATAAGCCATGTCTTTTCTGGCTGCTCTGAATTCTTTTTTAATTAAAAGCCCAAAATAATGCACGAGAGCTGGTCTTGAATTTTAACTAGAGACCAAACACGTCAGTCAATTTCAGTTTCATTAAGAATCAAAGCAAAGAAAGAGCGGCAAATCTGTGTTGAGCCTGACAGCGCTAATTAATTTTAAAGACATGCACATTGATAACTGCTGTCGTCTTCAATTAGCCGTTCCATTGACAAAGGTGGCACAGGCAGAGCTGCTTTCACACTCGAAGATACAGAATTAGATCGGTGGAAGATACGGCTCATTATTTGACATTGGGTGGGGCTCAGTGTTGATAATAAAACGGCGGACAAAAGGTTGAAAGTGTGCGTTTACCTCCTCCTCCACCGACTGGAACTCCTTATTGTCCGGAGACAAGTCGATGAGAACCGTGCCCTGGCTCGAACAGTGGAATGTCAGGTATGGATTGGCACCTGCAGCACAGAAACGGGTGAAATCACAAGTGGAAAGTGAAAAAGTGCAATAGAAAATTACCATGATTCAGTTCATTTGAGATCAAGACATGAGAAATGTAAAATGCAGACGTTGATTGATACACTGGCACCTTTGCGCGGCAGGTTTCAGATTTATCTTTGTTTTAGTGTCACCATGAAGTGATTGATAAGAGGCTATTTAATCCATCTCCCCCATACCCCTCCTAACTCTCACTCCTCTCTCCAAACTCTCTCCTCACCCTCATCTCCACTACAAACTTCCTCCTCTCTCCAAACTCTCAATCCTCTTTTCTCACCCCCTCCTCCTTCAAACTCTACCTTCTCTCCTCCCACCTCTCCTCTCCAAACTCTCCCCTCTCCTTTCCAAACTCTATCATTTCCTCTCTCCCATCCCTTTTTCTTCCTGAAAATGCTGTAACATGCTTTGTTCAGCTATTGTTTATAGAAAGATTAAGAGATTCTTTCATTACTTGTATAAATAATAAAATACCTGTTTCCCTAAAATCATAACACAAATCGTAAAAGCAAAGTCATAATAGCGTGTCATGAGCCATGTAATGCATATTGTATAGTAAATGTGGCAGGAGCTCTGGTGCATTTTCTCTGTCTGGTGCACACTGGGGAAGCCTTGCACAGTTTTTCCAATGTGGTTTTACTGCATATGGCAAATAAACTCTTGAAAATTTAATCATGAGGGACCCATGAGCGCTTGCAGTAAACTATCTGAGTATTTTAATATCAATTGCCAATGGAACGAGCATAAAATGGCTTGTTATGTATCAAACTTAAAGACAATATAAACAGTAATGCTGCACTTGGAATGAGAAAGACGTGAGAAAGGCAAATCACAGAAGGTCATGTTTGCTTGAAGACTTAGTTGGTTGCGTACTGACCTTGTTGGCCTCCCAGCAGCCTCTCGATGCCTTTGATGAGTTTGTGTCTGTGGCCGTAAGCGTTGATGCCAATCTCTTTGAGCTCCTCGTGGCCCATGTCTGCCAGAACGTCCAGAGAAATCTGCTCAGAGAGAAGCATGTTTTACATATGCACGAAATATAGACAACGTTTTCATGCATTTCAACATGGACAGAGTTTATGTTGCATTGTTGCATAAGGACAAATGTTAGTTGTGTCATTGTATCAACAATTGTAGCAAAATATGACACACATTACAGTCTATAACCATACTCAAAGCTATATCACATTTATTAATAATGTGCACAGATGAGCATTGATACCTGCTGTCAACTACAATAAGCCTTTCATTCACGTGAGCAGCAGAGGGAGCAGCTTTCAGATTCTCAAAACAGAACCAGATCAGAGAAAGATGAGACTAATACAGTTATTTAAACAAAATGTGAAACTTCTACATGTTGCAATCATGCTCAAGATTCAGTCTATTTGATGGCAGGTGCCAATAGTATGTGAAAGGAGCATTATTTTAAACACATGTTGAAAAGGAAAATATCCAAATATTTTATCAGAACATTATTTGATAGTGATATGATTTGCTAGATATTGTGACTTATTCAATGTACATGTACTAACAAAGTATATTGGGAAGTGTTTGTTTCATATGGATTGATGCTAGCTTGGGAATACCCACGTTAACTTGCAAGCTCGTATCATTTATCGCTGCACCATTGAAAGTTTGCTTATTGAGGAGAGCCCTGAACAAGTTGCTCCGCTTTGCAAAGAGGATAGAGCTGTGAGTTGCCTGTTCCGAAAGTTCTCTCTGAATCCAGATTTAAATCACACTCTTCAAATAATCAAAGACTCCTCTGGCCACCCTGGAAAAGTGTGCTCCAGGTTCTTCCCTATGGCAGAAGATATTGTTCGCTGAGATGCAGGACATTGCTAGCCTGACTCTCGCCAGACCCTTGTAGTTCCACCATGCTCCACCAGAGGCGTTTGGCTGAACCGCATGTGTGAAGTGCAGCTAACTACATGGGTCTGGCGAGAGTCAGGCTAGGACATTGCAGCCTCTTTCTAGCACTTTAAAGATCTTGCGCTTGTCATTTAAAAAAAAAATGTGGATGTGGTTGAACTCCAAATTACCAATAAAGTGAATCTGAATCGGATTTATTTCTAACTGCACATCGGAAGCTTTTAGTTTGTTTACAGATCCAACATGACGGCAGAAAACAGAAAGCTATCACCTTCGTTCGGCCCCATTGCTTAACCATTATTTGTCTTTTCTCTGTCACTCAGCGTAAGTAGAAATGATACATGATAGAAGCTTGTAGAGTTCAGTAAGAGTCTACAGTCCATGGGTATGGTTAATTGGTACGATTCATATTCACTTCAAATTCAGTTGATATTTAGCCTGGTGTGATTTAGAGTGTGGAGCTGATTTAGAGCCAAGGACTGCTAGCAAAAACAGGTTTCCGATGTGTTTTGACTGGGAGCAGCGTCACAGCACGAGTAAAATTAGAAATCCAATTCTAATTAACGCACAGCCTCGCGTTTATCTGTCGCGTAAGTATCACAATAGGTCAAAATGGGAAAATGTTTAATGATATGTTGTGTATGCTGTGCGACAACACTTACGTGCTGTAACAATAATTACGCAAATAATTAACCAGAGACTTCAGGCCAAAACCTCATGTTATTATGTTTCTTCTATCCTACCTTTGGAAATGTTTATTGCCTGATCCTTTAGTGAGACAGTTTTAATTGGCAACATGCCTTTAATTCCAGACGTGTTTTTCACTTAACTCTCGGCTGTAAAATACAAATTGATTGGACTCTGTTTATCTCCACCAGTCTCACTATAAATTATTAATCTTTAGAACTGAAGGTGACACCTCATTAGCAACTACATACGCTCTACATTCCTCGCTCCAATACATGGCTTTTGCGGTTTTGGCCTTGAAAACAATCCATACTTTTCTGTGTTTTTCCTCATCTTCTAAACTTGAAAACTTGCTTGGTCTTCACACACTTTAATTTGCTTTCTATTATAGATTCTTTGGTTCCATTTGCACAAACAAAGAAGTCTGAAATTAACAGCGTGTGAAGCACAAACACATTAAAACAGATGTGGCTGGCTCCTCTCACTTTCTATTTTTGCATCTCTCCTCCCGTGCCTTCTGTGCTGAGAAAAACAAGAATTTATTACGTTGTGTTGCTTACCTGCTCTCTTTGGAAAATGTCGCGAAGATGGTCGAGTCCTAAACTCTTCAAGAACTGGTTGATGGTCATGTCGAGCAACGCTGAGAAATAAAATAAAACAAATTTGGATAAAGCAAATGTATAAAAAAACACACATAACCATGAGCTGAAATTATCTCAATTATTACTGATTAATTAATTGATTAATTTAAAACTGTTTGCTTCTATAACAAGTTTTCACCACTGCTTCTTCAGAGTGGAAAGTGAAATAGTGTAGACCACCACTTTGCCAAAAACCTTGTGGTTAAACAATTTGGCAATTTTAGTGAAATTACTTTCCGAAACATGAATGAATGAATGAATAGTTTTTATTATTGTGTCTTGCATACACACTGTATGCCCAGCCCTAATGGGCTTATAAGACACCACTAACACCAACAAAAGCACCATATGCCAGACAATAGGCACACTATACAATACATAAACTTATTTAAACAAACAAGTCTGCCGCCTCAACCAGGCTTTACAAACAAAAGAAGCCAATTTAAACACATCTACAAACATGTAGAGACTGAAATAGTGTTGGGGCTGGCAAATGTCTAATGAACATTTTACTTATTTGAGTTGTAGATGCTAGAATATACAGAGGGATATCATTTGGACTTTCCAGGCAACTGAAAAACCGACTCCTCTGCGGATTTATCCAATCAGTTGTGTATCATATAGAAGAATGCTTCAAATAAATGTAGTATTGTGATATAGACTCCTTGCACAGAAAGTGACATATTTAAACGCTTTGTATATCAAAACAAAACATATTTACTTTCTCCTTCCTTTCGCTCCGACCCGGACGCAATCTCTCTTGACCCGGTGGCTCCACCCACTGTGATGTCAGCGAGGGGCGCGGTCAGATTGTCGATGCTGCTAGCGGCAGATAGACAGGACGGGGACGGTGACGGAGAGATGACCACACCCCCGACAGCTCCAGTGCCTACCACGCTGGCACTCACCTGAGGCAACAACAAAATGAAAGTGTTCATGCAAATACTATGTCTTTTTTTTCTAACTTATGTAGCTCTCCGTAGAAAATAAACGCTGGTTGAAAGGTGGTTAAACGAAGTAGAAACGATACCGGCCCAATCCCTGTCTGACTCTACACCACCCTACTATCTCTGTGTTGTGGGCATCAAAAGTGTTTTAAATTAAATCAGTCCTGTTCATGCCTTTAATCCTCTTACTCTGTTCCAATTGCTCCACGCACTGAAAAAAAACACATGAGCCTTTTTACCGCTGCAGAGTTGTGACCACGTGGGACAACAGTGAGAAAGGCTTAAGAGTTTGTTAGAGTTGTGTCCGCTTTTCACCACGGGGAAGATAGGATTGTGTCTAAATCAGTCACAGAGCAGCGTACCCAGGACCCCGGAGAAATGCATTAAACAGACTGCAGCAAGTTTATCATCTGCGTGAAGCATGGAGGATTGAACACTTTCATTTCAGCTCTTTTAGAATTTTTCATGATGACAACTTCATAAAGAAAATAGTAGCAAAAGCCCGAACTTTAATGGTTTGAGCAGTGGTTCCCAAAGTGGGGGGCGCAGAGCAATTGCAGGAGGGGCGCGGGACAAATGAATGAACGAAAATAAAGTAGGCTAAATGAAACTGCGAGCATAAGATGGACACATTTTTTGACACATTACAATCAAACAAGATATGGGCAGATACAGTGCCTTGCGAAAGTATTCGGCCCCCTTGAACCTTTCAACATTTCGCCACATTTCGCCACATTTCAGGCTTCAAACATAAAGATATAAAATTTTAATTTTTTGTCATGAATCAACAACAAGTGGGACACAATCGTGAAGTGGAATGAAATTTGTTGGATAATTTAAACTTTAACAAAAAATGAAAAACTGAAAAGTGGGGCGTGCAATATTATTCAGCCCCTTTACTTTCAGTGCAGCAAACTCACTCCAGAAGTTCAGTGAGGATCTTTGAATGATCCAATGTTGTCCTAAATGACTGATGATGATAAATAGAATGCACCCGTGTGTGATCAAGTCTCCATATAAATGCACCTGCTCTTTGATAGTCTCAGGGTTCTGTTTAAAGCGCAGAGAGAACCATGAAGACAAAGGAACACACCAGGCAGGTCCGAGATACTGTTGTGGAGAAGTTTAAAGCCGGATTTGGATACAAAAAGATTTCCCAAGCTTTAAACATCTCAAGGAGCACTGTGCAAGCAGTTATATTGAAATGGAAGGAGTATCAGACCACTGCAAATCTACCAAGACCCGGCCGTCCCTCCAAACTTTCATCTCAAACAAGGAGAAGACTGATCAGAGATGCAGCCAAGAGGCCCATGATCACTCTGGATGAACTGCAGATAACTACAGCTGAGGTGGGGATGGTGTGTTCAGGGTGATGAGCTGTGTTGCTTTTACGCCAAACATATCGTTTTGCATTGTGGCCAAAAAGTTTGATTTTGGTTTCATCTGACCAGAGCACCTTCTTCCACATGTTTGGTGTGTCTCCCAGGTGGCTTGTGGCAAACTTTAAGAGACTTTTATTGGATATCTTTGAGAAATGGCCACTCTTCCATAAAGGCCAGATTTGTGCAGTGCACGACTGATTGTTGTCCTATGGACAGACTCTCCCACCTCAGCTGTAGTTATCTGCAGTTCATCCAGAGTGATCATGGGCCTCTTGGCTGCATCTCTGATCAGTCTTCTCCTTGTTTGAGATGAAAGTTTGGAGGGACGGCCGGGTCTTGGTAGATTTGCAGTGGTCTGATACTCCTTCCATTTCAATATAATTGCTTGCACAGTGCTCCTTGAGATGTTTAAAGCTTGGGAAATATTTTTGTATCCAAATCCGGCTTTAAACTTCTCCACAACAGTATCTCGGACCTGCCTGGTGTGTTCCTTTGTCTTCATGGTTCTCTCTGCGCTTTAAACAGAACCCTGAGACTATCAAAGAGCAGGTGCATTTATACGGAGACTTGATTACACACAGGTGCATTCTATTTATCATCATCAGTCATTTAGGACAACATTGGATCATTCAAAGATCCTCACTGAACTTCTGGACTGAGTTTGCTGCACTGAAAGTAAAGGGGCCGAATAATATTGCACGCCCCACTTTTCAGTTTTTAATTTTTTGTTAAAGTTTAAATTATCCAATAAATTTCGTTCCACTTCACGATTGTGTCCCACTTGTTGTTGATTCATGACAAAAAAATTTAATTTTATATCTTTATGTTTGAAGACTGAAATGTGGCAAAATGTTGAAAGGTTCAAGGGGGCCAAATACTTTCGCAAGGCACTGTATGTCAGACTACCTCCCTGGCCCAAATAAACTTCATGCTCCCATACAAAATACTGAGCAAGACCATACCATAGATGGGTATTTTTCTAATTTACTGAAAGCCTTTTATCTCTTATCATCTCTAAGTTACAGCCTTTTTGAAATAAAGAAGTTAAAATCAAGCATTATAGAGAAAAAACCCTACAATGTATGAACAAAAACTGCATATGATTCTTGTTACTTGGTTTGTTATGCAGTAATTATATAAGAGTATTTTCCCTTAGAATGAGGCTAATTATTTCTTTTAATTCATTTTGTATGTTAGATGACAGAGATTTTGGATTCCCTGAATATTACCATCTTGTGTGTAATTTGACTTCATAATATCCAATTCTTCTAATTATGTGCTAACAATCTCCACATACCTGTCATATTAATCGTCATACTCAAAGCCCTTTAAACTGACTACTACATCTAAGTTTGGATAATTGCTCCACTATCTAAGAGTACAAAGAGAAAATGTCACTTTTGCTCATTTTCATGTTCAGAGGAGACATTGAACTTTACTCATGTTTTGTTTCAGGTGATCAGGTCCAGTCATTACAGAAAGATAAATAAGACAGCTAATCATAATAATAATAATAATACAGACAAATGAACCATAAACAAGACAGCTAAAAGTGATATCCACAAGTCTAATGCTAAAAATAAAGCTGGAGACTTATGCGATGTCAGGTAAATGCTACCTTTTACTCAGCTAAACATCTCATTCCAAACTCACCACTGTGGCTTGTGGTTTGAGACAGCTGGGCAGAGCATCTGGGGGCATGGCGTCGATCAACAAGGCCCTGATGTCGTCCGCCTGCAGGGGAACAAACAGATTGTGATTAACGTCTGCTAATTAAACACTTCCCTGCAATAGTGAACAGGCAAAATAAAACATGAAGAGAGATACGCAATTTGTAAAACAGTATTGCGCCTAGTTTTATTCCCATTGTAGACTTGATTGGGTGTTAAGGGCCAGACTATCAGAGCGTGTGTTACCGTAGCCAGGTCTAGCGGAGTCTGTCCTTCCTGGTTCTTCATGGTGGGGTCAGCTCCGTGGGCCAATAGCAGCGCACAGAGCTGAGTCCTGCCCTTCTGCGCGGCTTCGTGCAGCGGAGTGAACGCCCACTTGTCTGTAGCGTTGACGCACGTGTTGTACTTGATCAGCAGGGCGGCAATGTCCACGTGCTGGACATGGATACAAGACACAAGCAAGAGGTGTGAGAGTGTGGAATTGTCTTCAAGAATTTTTCCAAGCACCAGAGAGCCAGTCTATCTGCCCAGGCAGCAAAGATCTCTGATTGCAGTCACAGGACTTCTTCTCCTGGCCTTAGAGAACAGGCTGTGAGCACTGTTTTTCAGAAGTTTTTTTTTTAATTACAAATCTGGAAATTCTTTGTTTGATATAATGTCCTGATCCAGATATTGAAGTGTAATGACGAGATCAAGTGTTCAAATTGTGGCGATGTGTGTGTAAAGTCTGGGGGAATCTACGCACTCATTTGTGTGTTGAGAAATGTATATGTTTATGAGCCTGAACTTGTCCTGTATCTTTGTGTTTATGTTATATGATATACTCATAAAAATCCTAAAAACCCTTGCACATCCAAAAATATGGGAAACCCAAACTTTTAGGAGGTATCTACAACCCTGAAGAGAACTACACGGTTGTCTTACCACCAATCCAATGAATGAAAAACATTTTTTTTTTAAAACACTATACACAAAGAAGATGATATTCTAGTTCTACTACACACACATAAATTAACCATTGATCCCCGCAGAGTGCTCCTGTTTCCATTCTGTGATTGTTCATCTCTGGCTCTTGTCTTGATGTCAGACTGAGTGAAGCTCGCATCAGTGCAACAGCAGGAGATGGTTAAATGTGGATATGCTCCCGAACCCTCTGCTCATCAACTTTTCATCCCGACATGTGTTCAACTGCTACTATTGCACAAGAACGCTGCTGGGCCATAGAGACACAGAGACGCAAGGAAAGACATAAACACATTTTATTCCTTTTTGAGATAGGAGCCAGAAGAAATGGAGCGCTCAGCGCTCTATTTGTTTGATTAATGTTTTACTGTTTTTTTTGTCTATAATTGACTTATTTCTGAAAATCACATGTTCTTCTTACAATGATTCATCACCAGAGTGTCAGTCGGTCTGTTAATTAGATTGATAACTCAAAAAGTTGCATTTGTATGAAATGTTGAGGAAAATATGCGTAATAAAAATACAGTTACTTCATAAATACTTTGCTACCGGCGGCACCAGCCTCGGAAACACAGTTTCCGAGGCTTTTTTATTACGTGAGCACATTAATGTGGTTGTTTGTAAAGCAACACTAAGAGTTGGTTTGAATTAGTTTCTTTGGGATAATTAAGCAAAATTTAAATTGGATTTGAACTGAAGTTAAATTGTAATAGAAATGTTTGATCATGATCAAAGATTTTTTGTTAAAAAATGGTACCTATTATTCTTGAGCTTAAGTAAGCTCGCTGAAGCCTTCTAGAGATACAGTGCCTTGCGAAAGTATTCGGCCCCCTTGAACCTTTCAACATTTCGCCACATTTCAGGCTTCAAACATAAAGATATACAAATTAAATTTTTTGTCAAGAATCAACAACAAGTGGGACACAATCGTGAAGTGACAAAATTGATTGGATAATTTAAACTTAGAAAAAAAAAAAAAATACTGAAAAGTGGGGCATGCTATATTATTCGGCCCCCTTGCGCTGATACTTTGTAGCGCCAACTTTTGCTGAAATTACAGCTGCAAGTCGCTTGGGGTATGTCTCTATCAGTTTTGCACATCGAGAGACTGGAATTCTTTCCCATTCTTCCTTGCAAAACAGCTCGAGCTCAGTGAGGTTGGATGGAGAGCGTTTGTGAACAGCAGTCTTCCGCTCTTTCCACAGATTCTCGATTGGATTCAGGTCTGGACTTTGACTTGGCCATTCTAACACCTGGATACGTCTATTTGTGAACCATTCCATTGTAGATTTGGCTTTATGTTTTGGATCATTGTCCTGTTGGAAGATAAATCTCCGTCCCAGTCTCAGGTCTTTTGCAGACTCCAACAGGTTTTCTTCCAGAATGGTCCTGTATTTGGCTCCATCCATCTTCCCATCAATTTTAGCCATCTTCCCTGTCCCTGCTGAAGAAAAGCAGGCCCAAACCATGATGCTGCCACCACCATGTTTGACAGTGGGGATGGTGTGTTCAGGGTGATGAGCTGTGTTTGCTTTTACGCCAAACATATTGCTTTGCATTGTGGCCAAAAAGTTCGATTTTGGTTTCATCCGACCAGAGCACCTTCTTCCGCACATGTTTGGTGTGTCTCCCAGGTGGCTTGTGGCAAACTTTAAACAAGACTTTTTATGGATATCTTTGAGAAATGGCTTTCTTCTTGCCACTCTTCCATAAAGGCCAGATTTGTGCAGTGCACGACTGATTATCTGTAGTTATCTGCAGTTCATCCAGAGTGATCATGGGCCTCTTGGCAGCATCTCTGATCAGTCTTCTCCTTGTTTGAGATGAAAGTTTGGAGGGACGGCCGGGTCTTGGTAGATTTGCAGTGGTCTGATACTCCTTCCATTTCAATATAATTGCTTGCACAGTGCTCCTTGAGATGTTTAAAGCTTGGGAAATCTTTTTGTATCCAAATCCGGCTTTAAACTTCTCCACAACAGTATCTCGGACCTGCCTGGTGTGTTCCTTTGTCTTCATGGTTCTCTCTGTGCTTTAAACAGAACCCTGAGACTATCAAAGAGCAGGTGCATTTATACGGAGACTTGATTACACACAGGTGCATTCTATTTATCATCATCAGTCATTTAGGACAACATTGGATCATTCAAAGATCCTCACTGAACTTCTGGACTGAGTTTGCTGCACTGAAAGTAAAGGGGCCGAATAATATTGCACGCCCCACTTTTTTTTCAGTTTTTTATTTGTTAAAAAAGTTTAAATTATCCAATAAATTTCGTTCCACTTCACGATTGTGTCCCACTTGTTGTTGATTCATGACAAAAAAATAAAATTTTATATCTTTATGTTTGAAGCCTGAAATATGGCGAAATGTTGAAAGGTTCAAGGGGGCCGAATACTTTCGCAAGGCACTGTAATGTTAAGAAACACAATACAATGAGCAAATAAGACGTTGTTGTTTGACGATATGGCCAGTATGACTCAGTAACGAACATTTGTAAGGACTTAGTGCTGTAAAGACAAACTCAACAAGCACTAACTGACACTAATTAATTAATAAGTATGAAAAGGGTTTGGAGCAAACTCTTTGCATTGATGTTAATTAGTGACTAAATGAAAAAAAAAAGGGGGAAAACAAGCCGCCAAACAAGTGCAACTCATTCTCTGATCTGGTCTTTTTGTGAAAAAATAACAATCAAAAGCCAATCATCTCAAAATAACTCAAAATGAGACATTCACACAGGGAAGTTTCACTCAGTCTCACCCCATAGGACGCCGCATTGTGCAGTGGAATGAGCCCTCCTTTGTCCTGGGCATTCACGTCCGCTCCGTGCTCCAGCAAATACTCCGCCACCTCCAGGTTGTTATATCCGGCTGTATAGTGGCAAAAAAAAACACAGAAAAAAGGAGAAAGCAGAGAAAGAATTAAACAGGAAAGATGAAAGGAGAAAGTGCAAGCCCACATCGGCGTGACAGCCTGCAATCATTTTTCCATTTTATGGATTTTTGCAGCAGGAGCGTGGGAGTCTAAGTGGCTTGATAGAAAAAAAAAAGTGCAATAATATTCAAAGTGTCTCATCTAAAACAGGCTAAGGAAAAAGTGTCCACTGTAAGTATTGTGTTTCATAATTAGGAAGATACTGTATTATATGTTATGTTACATGATCTATGCTATTGTTATGATATGTGTTGCATCTTTGCAGTACAACTACGTGGTCAAACTTGCAGGCAAAAGCTAAATCCCGTCAGACCTCTGAAGCTGTGCAGAGCAGGGATTGGTTAGTAAAGTGATGGTAGTAAGCTTTTATTTATATACCGCCTTTTCACTGCACATCAGAGTCTCAAAGCGGTTTACAATTGTTGGGTGGGAGTGCCAGTACAGGAGGCACATGCCATACCTATTGTACATATTTTTTAGTGGTAGGGGAAACCGGAGCACCCGGAGGAAACCTACGCAGACACGGGGAGAACATGCAAACTCCACTCAGAAAGGTCCTAGTCCAGGGGTTTCGAACCCAGGACCTTCTTGCTGAGAGGCGAGAGTGCTATCCACTCACCCACCGTGCCGGCCTCTGAGGACCTCTGAGAACACGAGGTGCCACAGTGGGATGGCACTGTGGGTGGTGGTGGTCGAAGGGGCCGATGGCACAGACTGGTGTATGAAGTGAAAAAATAATGACATGTGATTCATGTTTGAGTTTCCTGATTATTTATGTCACTATAATTATTTTTCTTAAATTGCTTTTCAAGGACACTGCGATTTCACTAATAAAGTCTTGAGGTGTATGTCAAAGATGGTTATCAAGCGCAGCAGCATTTGAATCTTATTATCTTTGCTGGAAGGTGCATGGAGCTGAATCTATTGCTTGTCTCTGCCGCTGATGCTATCGTGATTAAACATGCTGAATATAAGGAGCTTACTGCGGTTTGATATCCACTTTAAAATCTGCACTTAAAGTTTGTGCCTGAGAAAGTCAACAGAGTTCAAGGTTGATGAAGTTACCAAGAGAACTGCCCCAAGATAGTGGTAAAATTGTTGTAAGCTGAGTGAATGCTTGAATGGGCTTTGACAGGCATCTCATAGACTCGCAAGAGAAAGTGGATGTATAATGAGGCATGTCTTTATGCTTTTCTCACTTAAAGTTTTTGCAATATCAGCACAAAGTAGAGTTTGTACCTCTTTTTCACCATTTTACTGATAAAGTCACGGTGGAGCTTTTTATCTTTTATATAAACAGTTGTTTTTGAATAAAGAATCTGGCAGTAGAAGCATTGCATCTCAAAATTGTACTATTTTCAAAGTAGTTATACTCTGGTGCAAATTTTGCAGAATTTGCAGAGTTTTATTTTAAAAACATAATGCATGTACTATAGATGAGGTGCTGCTTACTGAATCACACAAGTACAGTAGCAGACGGGACCATGTGCTTTCGAGCTAGGATCAAATATAAAAAATATGAGAGAAGAGTGTAAATTAATAAGAAATAAATCAAAGTGCCTAGTATCTTCTCTTTTTTGCTTTTACTTAGACAATGTATCCAAGAGGTATCAGCCCTCTCAGCTGTCTTAGTCGACAACATGAAGGAGAATACTTTGAGTGAGCAAAATATTTACTATATTATATTATCCTTGTACGTATAGGTTGTTCCAAGTAACCTTGAGCAAAGTTGAGTGGTCTTTTGAACTGGGAATAGTTGTGTAGTCTTTGTGTGAACTGCTCCATAAATTGCAGCAACTGAATAGCCCTCTGGGATCAATAAAGCTTTCTGAATTGAAATCTAATTCTGTGGCTCGTCTTCCGACTCAGACGAGTAAAATATTTTACACGTATTAAGAGACACTCATCAACTCCCCAGTCAGGCCGGAATTAACTTTAAAATCCCTAAGGAGCTCAGGCAGGCATGTTCTGTCGCATAAATTAAAACTCTTCCAAAACACATTTTTATAAAATTGTTTAACTTTTTTTCTTGTTTGTCATTGCAAAAGTGAAAAAATGAGGACTACCCTCCCTCAGCCAATCAGCTCTCAGCCCAAAGAGTCAATAGTGACTCACAGGTATCTTTCTTATTCTATTTGTATCTTTGACTACTTATGTGAAGTATTTTTGTTCACAACACTTTACTTTAACAAGACTCTTTCTGATGGAATAAACAACAAAGATTATAAAGAATATAGTTAGGTAGCCCAATAATTTCAAATTCAATTAATAGAATTTTCCATTTCCAAAACCAACAATTTTGTGTCAATTTTTGAGCAAGGGAGACCCACACATCAAACCAAGATCTTATTTTAAAGCAATCCCTGAGCCGTGATCTACCTCATATTTATGTGAGGATGTTATGATTCAGAATATCGCACTTTGTCTGATTCATGATGCAGATGTGATTCATGATCAGGTAAGAAGAGTATTGTCTTCATTCACTTTAGTTCACAGGACAATACTTTAAGGCTTAAAGGTTCACTGTGTAGTTTTTACTGCCGTTTCGTGTTGAGATCATCTTACAGTCCAGGGTACTACGGAAGCCTTCGAATGACAATATGTGGTCTTTGACAGTGTTCCTCAACTCTCAGTCATTCACCAGACTGCCAAGGAAAGAATCCTCACTTTGAAAAATGACCGGATCTCTTCAAACGTCTCGGACACTTGACAGTCATGTGGAGGCGACACGAAAAACAAAAGCGTGCTCTGAAGTGACACCCGCTGCACAGAGGCTCTACTGAGTTTTACCATGGATCTATTATAACATATAGTTTTACAGACACAGTGTAAGGAGAAGAGACGCATGAAGGATTAACGTCTGCGGGAGCTTAAAACTACGATGATCAAAGAAGCAGGACATTCACTCACGCTGCTGAATAAATCTTTGTTATTATGTTAACATGATTTTTCATATGGAGCAACTGTAGAAATTACACAGGGTGTCTTTAAATATGATATATAAACTTATAGATAGAAAAGTACACATACATCTGCCACAAAATCCACAGTATGTGCCTGTGTCGTGTTTCTCATTTTTCAAATGTCAATATGATACTGCTAAGTGCTCATAACATTTTTCAGAAACTCTCAAACCTTGCGCTTGTATGCACTTTCTGCTTTTAGGATGCACTGTCAAAAGGCCTTGAGCAGCAGTCACGCGATTTGACTAGCTTCTCTGCAGAGGATGAAAACATATTATGTGCCCTCACTGTGAGTGGTCTCTAGGCTTTTCCTGCTGCCGCAATGAAAATTGTGTGAAAGCGTAGATGGCGCGTGTGGAGCTGTGATGCAATTGACGGGAAGATTTTTTATTCTCATGAGAGAAATCAACAGAGTTAGCTTACTGAAAATGCATTCACAAATAACAAATAACTTAGAAAGTGTCCGAGACACTTCATTTCCTTTTAAGAATATTGTCTGTCTCTTTGTGTGTGCTTGTGAACATTTGCCTCCAGCCCGTGTTGTCATTCTCCAGTGACTAAACTAGCGTAGCTAGCATGTTTGCCGATGCAGAAGTAACGTCTAATAATAAAATAAACGTATGGCGCACCTTTGTGAACACATACTGCTGTTATATAAAGTCTCTGGGCACAGAGACGCTACAGAGCTGCCTTCTTGGAGAAGAACTTTACACAAAAAGCCGCTAGCTTAACTCCGTTAGCATCAAAGCACTTCCGCCGGGCGCCACCGCAGCCCAGGACTGGTCTGAACACGCCTAGACTCTGGAATTTAGAGACAGCACTTATAAGACGCCACTCGCGTTGCTACTACTCGCAGCCATCTTTGTTTTGAGTCTGACCAATCGGCGTGCATATTTTGTGTCGAGTGTCGACGTATTTTTTGTGTTGACGTAATCGATTACGTCAACGCATTGTCCCAGCCCTAGTAGGTCAATAAAAAAAGATCACCTACAACAGACCCAAGACTGAATACTAGGAGTCCCATAGTGTTTGTCGAATACGGAAGAAGCAGTTTTGAACAAAAGGAGCCAATTTCCTTAAATGGGCATTTGTTGCGAGTGAGTTAGCCTTGCACTGATGTGTTGCTAACATGGATGTATTGAGCTGGAGGAGGTTACTTTAATTCAATGGAAGATTGTTGTAACCAGAGCAATTCCCTGTTGGGCTTCATTGAGCTAGAGGCTTAGTCCATCTATAACTAGTCTATGCCTCAGACAATTATTTCAGTCTTCATTAACCAGGTGAATCCTACCTGCCAGGTGAAGTGGGGTGGAGTTGCGTCCTTGTGTGTCCCTGCAGTTTATGTTGTCTGGGCTGCATAGCTTCTGCACTCGGGCCAGACAGCCTTTCTTTGCCGCATCCAGCAAAGCAGCATCACCTCTGAGCAAGTCCTGGATGTCTGTGTCCCCGTCCTTCACCAGATCCAGAGGCGTGTTTCCATCACGGTTCTTCTTGGTTGGGTCCGCTCCGTGCTGGAACCAGAGCATACAAGAGCATATAGTTAGTGGACCCATGTTGAAGTTTGTAAGGTTAACCAACAGTTTCATCCACTCTGTCATGAGGACATTCAATGGAACCTCTATAATTACACTACATACTATGTGGTATGGCGTTTTGTTGTTGTATGTTGTCGGATGCAAAACTCTACCAACTCTTTTTGTGGCCATTGATAGGGATTCAGAGTGAATTAAGTTAGGGTTGCTAAAATACTTTTTACATAAACTCCACATTGGTTATTCCCAATATGAAAAGGACTAGACTACAACAGGCCGTCTTCATCCAAATAGAATACATGTTATCTTTAGCATACTTGTAAGAAAGAGACCTGTTAGTTACTATTTGACCCTTTGGACAGAAAGTAAGGTTGGTCCTCTCGTTTCCTTTTGTTTTCAAAGAATAAGTTGATGTAAAGATGTAAAAGAAGCCCCAAAAAAGGAATGCTGGCGAAATCTAGTGATTTAACCAATTGTTTTGTTTTAAGTGTGGACTAGATTTAATCACATTGTTTAATGTTTTGTGGTTTGAAAGCTTTAAGGAGAGATATTTTGGGATTATCTTTTCATATGCACAAAAAATCTGATGGACAGTATACAGATAGAGAATTACCACTATAAACCATAATAATATTTAAACTTGTGCAATAATAAACATCAGGAAAATCCCAAACTAAAACACAACAACTAAATTAAACCATAATTACAAAAAAAGTGACTTCAGCTCAAACATGTACTGTACACAGAGATCTACTGTCAATCACTGAGCCTAAATTTATATTAATCCATTTATTAACTGAACAACTGTGACAGGAATGACACCTAAAGTCCATTTAAGTATCAATACAATATTCTTAGACAAAATAATAATATAAATAAAAGAATCCTTCAAGAATCATCAACTTCCCTTAGTGGTGTTTTAAACAAAGCTCCAGCTGACACTATATAATAATCACAATAATAATCCACAACCACAATATATACCGTATGTCACAAAATAGTAATTATTGTGATTGTGTAATAGTCATTATTTTGGCATATTTATATTTATATTTGAGATTATAAAGATAAAAATTCCCTTAATGGATATAGAAAGGTGTCAAAATCTCGGTGTTGAAATCATTGGGAAGTGAAAACCAAGAAACAAACCAGCAGGATTGTTAATGTTAAACTATAATACGCTTTAAATCCAACTATTGAAAATCTTACTTGTTGAGAGTGAAACTACTCTGATTCTTTGTTTTGGTATTTGTTTCGCTATAAAATAATTGTTTACTGGGAGCTGTCTACTTTGTGAGGAGTGAAGAATGCATTGTTCCAAAGTGATTCATGTATTCTTTACAGGTGTGCTTCATGGACTTCCTCTTCAGCAAACACAGTTCACTGCTGGATGGCATTGGGCATTTGGGATCTGTTTAGTCATTCTAATTAGTTTGGCTTGCTTTAGGCTATTCACAGTTTATTGGTACAACTTTTCAATTAGTCTTATCAACTCGGCAAACTCTTTGTTAAGGCATTGATGCTCAGAGTATGCACTTACACAAGAAGAGTTACCATTTTGGTTTTAATCAACAGTGTAAAGTCATATCTAATTGTTACATACATGATCAGTTAATTTACATTTGTGTGATGTTGTTTGTTTTTGATATTACACAAAAATAAAATAAATTTAAAGAAATGCTTGTTTTTCTGCTCAATATTATGCCAAATATTATTTAAGATAGGAAATGATAAGTATTTAATCATTATAATTGTGTTGTGAAAATGTGATATACAGATGTTACTTACTACATTCAAACTTTAAGACTTTTTCCCAGTAAAACAATGTATTATTTCCAAATTATGCACTTTTCTGATCTTTTAAGGCCATGTATAGAACCCCTGTATCTTTTAGAGTTACAGTAAGTTTAACTCGATACACTCGGCACTACATCTCCCTTCAGTTTTTATCCATCCATCTATCCATTTTCTACCCTTTAATCCATTTCTGGGTCAGGGGGGTGGCAGTCAGAGATGCCACCCAAGTCTCATAGCACCCACCCTCACTGACCCTCTGCAGGTGGTGAGTCCACAGGAGGACGGCCGCTCTCTGAGTGTGAGCATAGCCTTGATCTTTCAGTGGGGGCTTTGGGCAAAGTGGGGTTAAGTGTCTTGTCCAAGGACACAACGACAGCAGTCATCAGTGGGAGTCGGTGGAGAAGTCAGTTTTAATGTAATCCTTAAAACTACTTTTCCTTTGGAACTTTTAGCCATTCACATCCATAAAAGATTTTCACTTTTTTCACAAAGACAATAAAGACCTATAACTTTCACAGGAAGTGACTTGAAATGGATTTCTCTGAACAGAATGACCAACTTTACCTGTTGAGAAACTTCACAACTGAAGCATCAGTGGGAGGCCCAATCTGAACCTTAAGCGCTCGCCATTGTGTGAAAGAATCTCTCAAAAACATTCTGGTCTTGTTTGACAAGCACGTACGACAGCCACACCATCACATATAACCAGAATGATTGACAATTTGGAGGACCAATAGTCTTGATGATCCACCCGGCAAAAAGAAAATCCTCCTAAATACATTGTAATTTCTGAGAGCGGACTAAAACCTTCCCTTTATGATACGATTAGTTCATAAATGTTTTCTTAGATGCACAAATTTTACCCTCCATTCCTGCAAAACTCATATCTAAAATCCAAACTGAAAAACCACTTTATGACTACAAAGCAGCGGTAACAAAAGATCCTCTGGCAGTGATATGAATCTCAATGAAGCCTGTGCAAAGTGCCCCTCTTTTCCTGTGTGCGAGCCCCGATGGAAGTGTTTGAGTGTGTGTTGTTCACGCTGATGACAAGTGACAAGTGCGAGCTGGATGAAGGTAATTCACAAGGGAGCCAAAGACGAGCCAGACTTGAAGAGGAGTCGTGAAGGTGAGGACAGGATAGGCAGCCGAGTGAAACGTCTGCACCCAGGAGAACATAACCTTCATGGCTGCAAGACTTTTCTGTGTTGTTTGAAATGCACTTATCGCTGCTGTCGTGTTGTATTACGACCAACTGGAGTAATCAAGCAGAGGAGGAAGGTATTCATTCACCACTTTTAAAATGTTTTATGCTTCTAATGTGTGGAGCGAATGCATAATGCAATGTGAAGCCTCTTTGGGTGCCTTGAAAAGCACTAAAAGCATTGTTATTATTATTATTATTATTATTACTGTTATTGATGCTATTTTTACTATTCAGAATTTTTGGGATATTAATAAAGAAATATTTTGATTACTGTAGACATTTAAAGCTGGAGTACCCAACTTACAAATCAGTCCATCTTCTACATACTGACAGTTGATTGGCTGAGTGATCTACACAAGTGACAAAGACCAAATAAATAAGTGACAAATTAGTTAGGTTGATTTTCTTAGTTAATGTTTTGATTAAAAGTTAGATACTTCAGGTTGAAGATTAATGTAAAGGTATACTTTAATGTCCCCATAGAAAACCTTTCCTCTGCATTTGACCCATCCTTCGATCCCTCGAGGGAAACTGGTCAGAAACAGGCCCAGAGATCCATCCCCAGATTTTGGTTGGTGTGTGAAAATTGAGTACCTGGAGGAAACCCAGGCAGAGGCAAAGGCATGCAAACTACAATACAGCACAATAGCACACAGACACAGGGATGCTGTGGAAGTGCAGGCATGGGAGAAAACACCCAACCTAATTGCCGTGAGGAACGAGCGCTCGGCACTCAGCCATTTAGTCCTCATTCAAAAGATGATATTTCTGCAGTTGTCAACATTATAATAACGCAGTAAGATACTCGTTTGAAACATAATCATCAGAACTATCATCAAAACTATGTGGCCTATTTGTAAAATGAGAAATTCACATTTAGTCATTCTCTTAACAAAGAACTGAGCAGGATTCTTAACGTCACAAACCATAAGGACCAAATTACAGGTAAGATTTGCGGAGAGGTGACAGCAAAAAGACATGCTTTGTCGTATTAGTCTTGTTAGTGATGTAAGAAGTGGATTTTCTTCACATCCGTGCAGCGTGAGGGCAGGATTTTCACCAGAAGCTCACAAGCCTCTTGCGTAGTGTTAACAAGACACATTTCCTATTAATTGAGCAGAGCATAATTACGTAGTGGGACTTCCTGTTCCCACAGAGAACAAGTCCAGTTTTTTTTGTCTGAAAGTGGAAGTTGGAAAATGTCACAGTGGTGGCACATTATTCTGAGTGCAAGCCAATACAAAAGAGGGACAATGGAAAGAGGCGTATGCAGAGCGACAACTTATAAATGGGAGAGTTTATCGGGAGAGAATAGATTGACTGTACAGAGGGTTTTTGCATGCTCAGCTCATTTCACTGCTAAATCATCAATACACACTGTAATGACAACAGCTTCCACTTGAGAGAATGTGGTGAGAAAATGCATATCCGTTTTCTTATGGAATAATGATTAGAGACATAAGCAGTGCGGTTTATTGATATAAATTGATTAAAAATGCCATTGAGGCGAAAAATATGGGATTCTCAAGAACTTTCTAAAGAGGACATATTGCACACATTTCCCCAACAAAGCTTTTCAGTGTACTGTCGAGTACTATGAAATCAGTTTTGACTATGAGGAAATTGAACCTGTGTATTGACAAAATTGCCTGAATTAGGTAAAATACATATCAGTTTAAGTACATTTGGTCTTAAGACAATCACCTTGGAATGAGAAATGAATACCTGCACTTGAAATGAGACTAAATCGTTATTTCCTATTGGTAAATCAAGTCAAAAGGTACACAACTCATGATGAAAAGCCCTTGATTCAAGGTGTTATCTTAATTCAATTTAAATTATTTTTTACTGTTAATAGTGGTGTGCTATTTGCAGTTTTAAAGTAAAATTATAGTCCATTGTGAACTTATTAATTCATCTGAACAGTGATAATACATTTAAAGACATAAATTGGTGAACTAAAAAAGGAAGAGTT